ATGCTGGTCACTATTGTGGCTGATGTGCATCATGTCCCAAGCGTCAGCTGACTTCACATCAGAACAAAACAAACTCTCCACACCCTGTAGTCTTACAATAGACCACTGTCTGTCTTTGTCTACATCGGAAGTGTTCGACTCCGATGACGCCAAATGTCTAGATTTCAACGCGGCGTCAGACGGCGTCACCTCCTTCCAATGCAACGTCAAAGCTGGGCTTTGCACGGCTGAAGAGTTTTCCAGCTTCAACTCGGCTGCCTGCAACTTCACACAAGAAACCCAACACAAGACGAGCGCCATCACAACGAACATGTTGCTTAGCATCAGTTTAACCAGTTCAGCATGCCAGGAAAGGATGATTTTTTGTATTTTCGCCTCCAGCGTCGTGACTATCTTCAAACACCAAGAAGAATACTGCCGGCTCTTCACCATGAGAGACAGCAAGAAAATATTCAACAACTGTCTGAAGAAACATTGCGAGATGGACGAAATCACCAAGCTTAACAAAACGGCGTGCGCTTCGCCGAAATCACAGAGGTTCTCAAACGAGATCGAGGTCAGCTCACGTAAGTGCCGGGATGCCTTTGAGGAGTGCTTGTACAGCAACGTCACGGCACGGAACCTGATCCGGGGCGAGAGGTACTGTGACCTGCTGAAAAAAAAAAGTCCGTGGAACGTGAACGACTGCTTTAAAAACAGCGGATGTAATAGGAAAAACTTGAGTAGACTTAAAGATGCGGCCTGCAGTGGTCCTTACACTATGTATTCCTTGGTACTAATCATGTTTCTGGTGTTGGTTCTTTGTGTTTAAACTAGTACTTAAAAAATATTCTGCCTCCTTCACTGTGGGTTGTTGTTGTTTTTTTTTTAAATGAATTTCGGCTTTCTGTCTGTTTTTATGTTGCTTGTTTTACACATCTTCCGTTTCACAACAACTCGTCTTATTTATTATTTTCTTTCTGTCATTATGCAGACCAATGTTAGGTCCTTTAAGTACCAACTGCTGAAACAAGAAAAAATTCTATTACGATAAACAAAAACTTCCTCCCCTATAACTAAACTTTAAATAAACTAACCAACAACACCCACACATATCTCAAATAAATTGTAGCCAACACCAGCTTGCCATCTCCACCCCACCCGTCACTCATCATCACCTTTCCTTTATCCACATCCACTTCTACATACACAGCAGAATACTACAAATAAATCTATGAAACGAATATGAAACAAAAAGTTTCAATAAGCTTTGGGCTCCTATAAGAGCACTTCGTGTTCACCACTAATTATATTTTCCCACGCTAATGTTACCCCTTCTCTCCCTTTACTAATGGAGCTCATGGTTTCCCCTTGTTGGTGTTGCGGGTGTTTTCAAACTCTCACCTGTTAATTAAGGAAATGCAGAGTTAACGCCCTTATCGTGTATTCGGTGTAACGAGGACTATCTTGAGTGGGGTCTGACGTTTTTACCGACTGTCCCAACAATTCCTAACATACTTCCTAATATGTCCTAATACACGTCCTAACGCACGTCCTAGCACACGTCCTAACAAGTCCTAACATGTCATATCACACGTCCTAAAAATGTCCTAACATGTCCTAACTTGTCCTAACACATGTCCTAACACGCGTCCTAATATGTCCTAACACACGTCCTAACACACGTCCTAACACACGTCCTAATATGTCCTAACATGTCCTAGCATGTCCTAACATACGTCCTTACTCATGTCCTAACACACATCCTAACACACGTCCTAATATGTCCTAACACATGTCCTAACATGTCCTAATACACGTTCTAACATGTCCTAACATGTCCTAAGACACGTCTTAACATGTCCTAACACATGTCCTAACATGTCCTAATACACGTTCTAACATGTCCTAACATGTCCTAACACACGTCCTAACATGTCCTAACACACGTACTAACAAGTCTTAACATGTCCTTTTATTATTATTATTATTTATTATTATTAGGATTATTTGTTTTTAATTTCTACTTTCATTTAGTGTATTCTGAACCAAAAAAATGAGAATAATTAACACCGCACTTCCCCCTTTATCTCCGTACACAACCCTAATTCACCCATTTGTTCTGTTAATAATTGCTCCATGTTTTTCATTACCCTAACACTTCACTCGTACAGCTGGTTAACCTGACCTTTACGTCACGATCTAAATAAAACATTCTGACGATGGAACAATTCCTGCTTCACACACTGATGATTCACGAATGCTGCACTTTATCAGGAAATATCCAAAGTCTATTTATTTGGAGCATGTACTACAGTTGTGTGGGCTGTGTTACGTGTTAGAATGCTCTCCCCTCATGGGTACCTAGAGAATTATTGCTGTCTCGAATTTCCATTTATGTTATTAGTAAAGACATGTTCAAGTCTATTTTACTACTGATGTTTTTAAACTATTTTCATGTATTTTATTTTTGTGCTTGCTGTGGCTTAATTTTAGGAAGAGATTTTGGTCGGTAATTCTTACTTTTGAATAAATACTTCTCATTTTATGATACTAGGTTCAACAATTTATACGTAAAAAAAGAAATATATATATAAAAAGATATTTTTTTAAATCTACGACTAGCAAATTGTCGGCAAAAACAAAAGAAAAAGTTTGTGTTATAGCGCCAATTAAGCTTCAATTTTCTCGAGGTCGGCGTGGTCGAGTCGGTAAAGCTCATGGTTGCTAACCCGAAAAGTCTCGAGTTCGAACCCTCGGGCAGTGAGGCTCGTTAGCTAGGGAAAGCCTCTCTTCTGTCCAAAATCAAACAATGTCAATGGTGATAGTGGCGTGGTCTAGTTCGCAAAAAAGCTCATAGTTGATAAATTCAAACCCGCTGGCTGATAAGGCTCGATAACTTCCAACACTAAAACAATTAAGAACGAAGAAGAAGAAGAAACCTCGAGGTACCAGCTGGTACACCGTCACGTGTCCTGGTAATACATAACAATAACAATACTTAACTAATGAGTCCACTAAAAGCGATGCCAAGACCACAGCAGAACACAAAGTTAATAGCCTGATATTAACTTCCTGAATAAACAAAACGACCACCACAGCTGACTACTTAAATTTCGTTCTTTTTTTTTTAGTATTTGGATTTTCTACATCCTAATATATAAAAGTCATTGTGCGCACTTCTCTCTGTCAGCAATATTTGTGGCAAAGTCGTCAGCATTTTCAGCAATATATGGTGAAGTTAAAGACACGGACTTTTGTTGAAAATAATATAGTGGATGGTATAAACGTATAAACTTAATTTTCTTTAAAGGAGGAAAGTAAAAATAAAGCATATTCAAATATAGATAAGATTTCTAACTAAAGCGTTTGTTGTCGTGACAAGAGCGCGTATGTTTACACTAAGGAAAAAACACAAAACTAATGGCTTCATCTTTCAATTTTATAATATAAAGAAATGAACTATTTCATTCAAATTTTATTTAGATCTACGTACGCTATGAAATATATACAATCCTTAATTATTTTATATAAATCTTTGTTGGCTATGGAATTGGTTAATTTGGGACAAAATTTCATATGAAATAATAGGGCCTATTCGCATAACTTAAGTTTCTAACGCGGACTCTTTGTGTAAACTACACCTTTAATTTTATATCTATTTGGAACTTCCCAGATAACTGAGTAGATAGTGTAATAGTTACCATGCGGGTGGTACGGGTTCGAGACACATCATGTAAATGTTTTTTCCAATTATTTTAGCTGTGAATGATTAAGTTGCCTATCGGGACTTGGCGGGACACGGGGCAGGTAAAGCAGAGTTCATCCGTATATGTCTTCTCAGCATATGAAGCTATAGTGTGGTCAGGCCCATGCTCAGCCGAAATAGGTGTTTTTTTAAAGGCAAAAGCAACATAACTTCCATTAAACAGCCGGATTTTTTAACAAAATCATTTAACTCTCTTAATTTTAAGCCTCTTAATCGGCGTGGGCATTTAATATTGTATTGACTAATAATGTTATATAATTTGGTTTTAATTTTTCTAATAGGTATTAGTAGTCTATGTTATTTTACAAAGTAGAAAACGTTCCACTTCCGGTTATCGGAAATCGATCAAAAGTTGAAATGGATCTACAAATTTGATGTTATACTTATAAATGAAATTTCAACAACCTAGCTATAACGGTACTCAAAGTTATCGTGTTTACACACACACAGACACACACATACACACACACAGACATACGGACAAGATTGCAAACTATGTTTATCCGACTCAAGGAGGTGTAAAACGTCGAGATTTGCAAAATTCTCGATTTTCTTTTTGCATGGTTACAAGACTTTCTCTATACTTCGTATATACGAGAAAGTAAAAAAGGATTTGAAATGTTTTTCCATCTTTTATGTTTTTCTTACAAAAAGAGATTGTGCTTAAAGAAGCTTATACCGTGAGTGATGAAATGGAAAATGAACATAAAAGATTATCAAAATACTAAGGGACGCAATTTGACTTTTCCCATCCCAGACTAGCATCCTCTGTGTAAAGAAAAATCAATACACTAAAAATCTCAAAAATAATCCAACACAACTAAGTATGGTTAACGAACTGGTTTTTCGTCATTATGGCCGTTGACTCCGCTTTCAGCTGGCTTTTCTTTTTGGATTTTCTCCAATAGCCTTTGTCCAACCAAGAACAAACTACAAGACAGCAGGTCTGATTTTCGAGTTGTCTCTCCTAGAAGAGTGATTGTCATAAGCTATCGAGCCTCATCTGCCCGAGAGTTCGAACTCGAGACTTTTCGGCTTAGCAACTATGAGCTGCACCGACTCGACCATACCGACCCGTGTAGGAATTTTTATTTTATTTTGTTATGAGGGTTAAAATAAAATTCTAAACGCGACTCCAACTTTTAAAAGTCCAGTTAAGATTATTTTTAAAATGAATTTTTAAAAAAAGCTTTATTAATATTTTTATAATAGTAATGATTCGATTTTTTAAATTGTTTTGTACCTTTTTCAGCAATGATGAACAGTCACGTGATTTTGAATCTGTTTGTGTTGGTGTGCTGTCTCCACTGCGCCGTGGCGGACATGTTAGAGGCGTTATCAAAAGTGTCAAGCATCTGCCGCGCTACCCCCGTAGCATGCTCTAAGATATTTGGAAGAGGTGTTGGTGTGCCGAGTGGGGAGGCCCAGTGGTGCTCTCAATTGAGGATGGTGGCATACGGCGTCACCGGTTTCCAGTGTGGGGTGTCCATTGGGTTTTGTACAGACCAGGAGTACCTTGACCTCGAGAAGGCGGCTTGTAGGAAGATATCTTTAGTTCCAAGACAAGCCAGTAATATAAAAAAAACATTTTATAATAAAGTCGCAACCATCAACCCCAGTTGCCAGGATAAAATAATGCACTGTATCGCTAAGAATGTTGTGAGCACTGTTTTCAAACAACAGGAACAATACTGTAAGCTTGTCAACAGCAGATATATGGTAGAATGTATGGGGTTAGACTGTCTCAGAGATCTGAACCAGACTGCGTGCACCACATATCAGTCTCAACCTTTTTCAGACGCCATCGTGGGAACAACACAGAAATGCCAAGACACCATTGAAGAATGTGCTTCTAATATCTACTCAAGAACCTTCATCCGCATGGAGAACTACTGCGGTGTTATGTATCCCCACATTATCAGATTTGAGGATTGCTTACAGCAAAAGCATTGCACGAAGGCTGAAACCAACAAGTTGAGAATCGCGGCCTGCAGTTCGAGTGGGAATGGGAGTGGGAGTGGAAATATGAATGGGAGTGGGAATGGGAGTGGGAGTGAAAATATGAATGGGAGTGGGAATGGGAGTGGGAGTGAAAATATGAATGGGAGTGGGAATGGCAGTGGGAATATAAATGGGAGTGGGAATGGCAGTGGGAATATGAATGGGAGTGGGAATGGCAGTGGGAATATGAATGGGAGTGGGAATGGGAGTGGGAGTGGTTCTCTTTTGTCAACGGCGATGTCTAAAGTGTCCAACATGTGCAAATCTACTACTAAAGTGTGCGTATCTCTATCCGGAAAGAATATTCCTGAGTCTGGCTCTGAAGCCGAGTGGTGCACCTTGATGAGGATGACGAAAGATGGCGTCACCGGTTACCAGTGTGGGGTGTCCATTGGGTTTTGTACAGACCAGGAGTTCATTGACCTCGAGAAGGCCGCATGTGGAGGGACAACAAAATCTCCGAGACAATCAAGCAATGCTCAAAGAACATTTTATAATAAAGTCTCGTCCATCCGCAAAAGTTGCCAGGATAGATTGATAGCCTGCGTTGCTAACAACGTCGTGAGCACTGTTTTCAAACAACAGGAACAATACTGTAAGCTTGTCAACAGCAGATATATGATAGAATGTATGGGGATAGACTGTTTTAGAGATCTGAACCGAACAGGCTGCTCCGCGTATGAATCGCAACCTTTTTCAGACGCCATCGTAGGCACAGCACATACTTGTCAAAACGCTCTACAAGAATGTGTTTTTCGTACATTCGCCCTAGCTCTGATCCGTGCTGGGAAGTATTGCGATGCTGTGGATTACTCTCAAGATGGTATCAATATTGCGGAATGCTTAAAAGAAAACCAATGCATGGAGGCCGAGGTCAGGAAGTTGAGAACCGCGGCCTGCAGAAGTAGTGGCAGTGGCAGTGGTCGCGTTAGTGGTTCTTACATCGTTGGTTCTTTTCTTGTCTTAATATGTGCTGTGTTGCTTCGTGTGTAGAAATTCAAAGTAATTTCTTGTTCTTACAAGCTTTTATTACAAGCTTTTATTTAACTCACTTTCTCTGTCGTCAGTCTGTCGTCAGTCTGTCTGTCTAGATCGAAACGGCTGAGCAAAATTACAGGCACTTCTACCTGACAGATACGGTTCGTAGTTGGAACGTGGGTCAAGACATGAAGACAATGCATTGGGACATTAAATTTGACTTAATTGGATAAAACACTATTGTAAATAAAAACATGTAGAGTACTAAAAAAATGTCATAAAATACGTTTTAATAACAAGCTTTTATGTACTAATGCACTAAAAAGTAGAAAATTAATTATACACAACTATTTAAATAACTATAAATAAAAGCGTGGGTCAATTTAGTATCTATTGGATACCTTTACTAATATTTAGTATTTATTTTACTTTTTAGTGCATTATTACATAAAAGCTTGTTATTAAAAGGTTTTTATGAATTTTTTTATATGTATTACACAGCTGCATGAGACACCTCCCTTCACTCTTTAATTGTGTTCATATATAGGCACGATTTATATATAGATAAAGCAATGTTTGTGTGTGTATCTGTCTATCTGTCTTTTATGCAGTACTACATCTTTCATACGATCGCCATGAAACTCGGAAAAGTTGTTGAGAATACTCCTGGGGAGGTTTCTGCCAAAACAAATTTTTAAATACGCAGGAGTGGCGCCCCGGCAGGGCGCAATTTTTTTTTTCTATATACCTATACACTGTAAATAAAAATAAAAGTCGATTGCGGTTTCACACTGTATATCCGATCACCACCAAACTTTGGGGAGTTGATTAGACCATTCCAGGTTAGGTTTTGTATTAATAAATCATGTTTAATTTCGCAAGGGCGTCGCCCCAAGAGGATGCATTTATTCTCTATAGACGATATATTAAAAAAAGAAAGTCGGATGGGTTTCGACACGGTTTATCCGTATATATACATATATATATATATATATATATATATATATATATATATATATATATATATATATATATATATATATATATATATATATATACGAGCCGACCCGCGGCGTAGCATACGCCTCTATTTAGTTGTTTTATTTTCTACTTTTCAGTATTTCATTATTATATATGTGTATAGTATATAATTACATATGTATATGTATATCTTTATCCAATATCCCTATGTTATTTTTTTTAAATTATTATAACGAAACACTTAATATTTTTTACAATGTCTTGCTATTGCACTAAAGCTCAAAATAAACTTCTATAAACTCTATACATATTTTGGTTATTTCTTTTGTGTACTTGAACATTGAATTTTTTCCCGCTGTTGTCACGAGAACTATCGGATGGTGATGAGTTGTTTGTAAAAGTTTCAATGCGTCGTTTTGTGAAATATAATTTTTTTATAATATCATTAGGATGTTCTTCAAAAACCTCCAGCAACTACATTATTTTACACTCGACCACTCAACCTGTCCACATCTCAACCAGTCCACCACTCGACCAGTCCACCACTCAACCAGTACACAATTAAACCAGGCCATCACACAACCAGTCCACCACACAACCAGTCCACCACTCAACCAGTCTACCACGCAACCAGTTCACAACTCAACCAGTCCACCACTCGACCAGTCCACCACTCAACCAGTCCACATCTCAACCAGTCCATCACTCAACCAGTACACAATTAAACCAGGCCATCACACAACCAGTCCACCACACAACCAGTCCACCACTCAACCAGTCTACCACGCAACCAGTTCACAACTCAACCAGTCCACCACTCAACCAGTCCACCACTCAAACAGTCCACCACTCAAACAGTCCACCACTCAACCAGTACACCACTAAACCAATCCACCACATAACCAGTCCACCACTCAACCAGTCCATCACTCAACCAATCCACCACTCAACTAGTCCACCACTCAACTAGTCCACCACTCAACCAGTCCAAAATTAAACCAGTCCACCACACAACCAGTCAACCACTCAACCAGTCCACAATTAAACCAGTCCACCACTCGACCAGCCCACCACTCAACCAGTCCATCACTCAACCAGTCCACCACTCAAGCAGTCAACCACTAAACTAGTCCACCACTCAACCAGTCCAAATTAAACCAGTCCACCACACAACCAGTCCACCACTCAACCAGTCCAAATTAAACCAGTCCACCACACAACCAGTCCACCACTCAACCAGTACACAATTAAACCAGGCCATCACACAACCAGTCCACCACACAACCAGTCCACCACTCAACCAGTCCATCACACAACCAGTCCACCACACAACCAGTCCACCACTCAACCAGTCCACCACTCAACCAGTCCACCACTCAACCAGTCCACAACTCAACCAGTACACCACTCAACCAGTCCACAATTAAACCAGTCCACCACTCGACCAGTCTAGCACTCAACCAGTACACCACGCAACCAGTCCACAATTAAACCAGTCCACCACTCAACCAGTTCACCACTCAACCAGTCCACCACTCAACCAGTCCACCACTAAATCAGTCCGCCACTCAACCAGTCCACCACTCAACCAGTCCACCACTCAACCAGTCCACTACACAACCAGTCCACCACTCAACCAGTCCACCACTCAACCAGTCCACCACTCAACCAGTCCACCACTCAACCAGTCTACCACACAACCAGTCCACCACTCAACCAGTCCACCACTCAACCAGTCCACAATTAAACCAGTCCACCACTCAACCAGTACACCATTCAACCAGTCCACAATTAAACCAATCCACCACGCAACCAGTCAACCACTCAACCAGTACACGACTCAACTAGTATTCCACTCAACCAGTCCATAATTAAACCAGTCCATCACACAACCAGTCCACCACTCAACCAGTCAACAATTAAACCAGTCCACCACTCAACCAGTCCACCACTCAACCAGTCCACCACTCAACCAGTCCACCACACAACCAGTCCACCAATCAACCAGTCCACCACTCAACCAGTCCACCACTCAACCAGTCCACAATTTAAACTATCCACCACGCAACCAGTCCGCCTGTCAACCAGTGGTTTACTCAACCAATTAAACCAGTCCACCACACAACCAGTCCACCACTCAACCAGTCAACAATTAAACCGGTCCACCACTTAACCAGTCCATCACTCATCCAGTCCACCAATCAACGAGTCCTTCACTCAACCAGTACACCACTCAACCAGTCCATCACACAACCAAACCACCCCATATAACCAGCCCACCACTCAACCAGTCCACCACTCAACCAGTCCACCACTCAACCAGTCCACCACTCAACCAGTCCACCACACAACCAGTCCACCACTCAACCAGTACACAACACAACTAGTACACCACTCAACCAGTCCACAATTGAACCAGTCCACCACTCAACTTGTACACCACACAACCAGTCCACTACTCAACCAGTCCATCACACAACCAGTCCACCAATCAACCAGTCCACCACTCAATCAGTCCACCACACAACCAGTCCACTACTCAACCAGTCCATCACACAACCAGTCCACCACTCAACCAGTCCACCACTAAACCAGTCCACCACACAATCAGTCAACCACTCAACCATTCCACCACTCAACCAGTCCACCACTCAACCAATCCACCAAATAACCAGTCCACCACATAACCAGTCCACTACTCAATAATTCCATCACTCAACCAGTCCACTACTCAACCAGTCCACCAGTCAACTAGTCCACCACTCAACCAGTCAATAATTAAACCAGTCCACCACTCAACCAGTATACCACTCAACCAGTCCACGACTCAACGTGTCAACCACTCAACAGTCCACAACTCAACTAGTCCACCACTCAATCAGTCCACCACTCAACCAGTCCGCTACTCAACCAGTCCACAACTCAACTAGTCCACCACTCAATCAGTCCACCACTCAACCAGTCCACCACTCAACCAGACCACCACTCAACCAGTCCACCACTCAACCAGTCCACCACTCAACCAGTCCACCACTCAACCAGTCCACCACTCAACCAGTCCACAACTCAACCAGTACACCACTCAACCAGTCCACAATTAAACCAGTCCACCACTCGACCAGTCTAGCACTCAACCAGTACACCGTTCAACCAGTCCACAATTAAACCAGTCCACCACTCAACCATTCCACCACTCAACCAATCTTCTAGCACTCAACCAGTACACCACGCAACCAGTCCACAATTAAACCAGTCCACCACTCAACCAGTCCACCACTCAACCAGTGCACCACTCAACCAGTCCACCACTAAATCAGTCCGCCACTCAACCAGTCCACCACTCAACCAGTCCACCACTCAACCAGTCCACTACACAACCAGTCCACCACTCAACCAGTCCACCACTCAACCAGTCCACCACTCAAACGGTCCACCACTCAACCAGTCCACCACTCAACTAGTCCACCACACTACCAGTCCACCACTCAACCAGTCCACCACTCAACCAGTCCACCACTCAACCAGTCCACAATTAAACCAGTCCACCACTCAACCAGTACACCATTCAACCAGTCCACAATTAAACCAATCCACCACGCAACCAGTCAACCACTCAACCAGTACACCACTCAACCAGTATTCCACTCAACCAGTCCATAATTAAACCAGTCCATCACACAACCAGTCCACCACTCAACCAGTCAACAATTAAACCTGTACACCACTCAAATAGTCCACCACTCAACCAGTCCACCACTCAACCAGTCCACCACACAACCAGTCCACCAATCAACCTGTCCACCACTCAACCAGTCCACCACTCAACCAGTCCACAATTTAAACTATCCACCACGCAACCAGTCCGCCTGTCAACCAGTGTTTTACTCAACCAGTCCACAATTAAACCAGTCCACCACACAACCAGTCCACCACTCAACCAGTCAACAATTAAACCGGTCCACCACTCAACAAGTCCATCACTCATCCAGTCCACCACTCAACCAGTCCACAATTTAAACTATCCACCACGCAACCAGTCCGCCTGTCAACCAGTGTTTTACTCAACCAGTCCACAATTAAACCAGTCCACCACACAACCAGTCCACCACTCAACCAGTTAACAATTAAACCGGTCAACCACTCAACCAGTCCACCACTCAACCAGTACACCACTCAACCAGTCCATCACACAACCAATCCACCATATAACCAGCCCACCACTCAACCAGTCAACCAGTCAACCAGTCCACCACTCAACCTGTCCACCACTCAACCAGTCCACCACACAACCAGTGCACCACTCAACCAGTACACAACACAACCAGTACACCACTCAACCAGTCCACAATTGAACCAGTCCACCACTCAACTTGTACACCACACAACCAGTCCACTACTCAACCAGTCCATCACACAACCAGTCCACCACTCAACCAGTCCACCACTCAATCAGTCCACCACACAACCAGTCCACTACTCAACCAGTCCATCACACAACCAGTCCACCACTCAACCAGTCCACCACTCAACCAGTCCACCACACAATCAGTCAACCACTCAACCATTCCACCACTCAACCAGTCCACCACTCAACCAATCCACCAAATAACCAGTCCACCACATAACCAGTCCACTACTCAATAATTCCATCACTCAACCAGTCCACTACTCAACCAGTCCACCAGTCAACTAGTCCACCACTCAACCAGTCAATAATTAAACCAGTCCACCACTCAACCAGTCCACCACTCAACCAGTCAACAATTTAACCAGTCCACCACACAACCAGTCCACCACTCAACCAGTCCACGACTCAACCAGTCAACCACTCAACAGTCCACAACTCAACTAGTCCACCACTCAATCAGTCCACCACTCAACCAGTCCGCTTCTCAACCAGTCCACAACTCAACTAGTTCACCACTCAATCAGTCCACCACTCAACCAGTCCACCACTCAACCAGACCACCACTCAACCAGTCCACCACTCAACCAGTCCACCACTTAACCAGTCCACCACTCAACCAGTCCAACACTCAACCAGTCCACCACTCAACCAGTCCACCACTCAATTAGTCCACAATTAAACCAGTCCACCACTCAACCAGTCCACCACTCAACCAGACCACCACTCAACCTGTCCACCACTCAACCAGGTCACCACTTAACCAGTCCACCACTCAACCAGTCCAACACTCAACCAGTCCACCACTCAACTAGTCCACAATTAAACCAGTCCACCACTTAACCAGTCCACCACTCAACCAGACCACCACTCAACTAGTCCACCACTCAATCAGTCCACCACTCAACCAGTCCACCACTCAACCAGACCACCACTCAACCAGTCCACCACTCAACCAGTCCACCACTTAACCAGTCCACCACTCAACCAGTCCAACACTCAACCAGTCCACCACTCAATTAGTCCACAATTAAACCAGTCCACCACTCAATTAGTCCACAATTAAACCAATCCACCACTCAACCAGTCCACCACTCAACCAGTCCACCACTCAACCAGTCCACCACTCAACCAGTGCACAACGCAACCAGTCCACCACTTAACCAGTACACCACTCAACCAGTCCAGAATTAAACCAGTCCATCACACAACCAGTCCACCACTCAACCAGTCAACAATTAAACCAGCCCACCACTCAACCAGTCAACAATTAAACCAGTCCACCACACAACCAGTCCACAACTCAACCGGTCCACCACCACAACCAGTCCACCACTCAACTTGTACACCACACAACCAGTCCACTACTCAACCAGTCCACCACTCAACCAGTCAACAATTAAACCAGCCCACCACTCAACCAGTCCACCACTCAACCAGTCCATCACTTAACCAGTCCACAACTCAACCGGTCCACCACCACAACCAGTCCACCACTCAACTTGTACACCACACAACCAGTCCACTACTCAACCAGTCCATCACACAACCAGTTTACCACTCAACCAGTCCACCACTCAATCAGTCCACCACACAACCAGTCCACTACTCAACCAGTCCATCACACAACCAGTCCACCACTCAACCAGTCCACCACTCAACCAGTCCACCACACAATCAGTCAACCACTCAACCATTCCACCACTCAACCAGTCCACCACTCAACCAATCCACCAAATAACCAGTCCACCACATAACCAGTCCACTACTCAATAATTCCATCACTCAACCAGTCCACTACTCAACCAGTCCACCGGTCAACTAGTCCACCACTCAACCAGTCAATAATTAAACCAGTCCACCACTCAACCAGTCCACCACTCAACCAGTCAACAATTTAACCAGTCCACCACACAACCAGTCCACCACTCAACCAGTCCACGACTCAACCAGTCAACCACTCAACAGTCCACAACTCAACTAGTCCACCACTCAATCAGTCTACCACTCAACCAGTCCGCTCTTCAACCAGTCCACAACTCAACTAGTCCACCACTCAATCAGTCCACCACTCAACCAGTCCACCACTCAACCAGACCACCACTCAACCAGTCCACCACTCAACCAGTCCACCACTTAACCAGTCCACCACTCAACCAGTCCAACACTCAACCAGTCCACCACTCAACCAGTCCACCACTCAACCAGTCCACCACTCAATTAGTCCACAATTAAACCAGTCCACCACTCAACCAGTCCACCACTCAACCTGACCACCACTCAACTAGTCCACCACTCAATCAGTCCACCACTCAACCAGTCCACCACTCAACCAGACCACCACTCAACCAGTCCACCACTCAACCAGTCCACCACTTAACCAGTCCACCACTCAACCAGTCCAACACTCAACCAGTCCACCACTCAACCAGTCCACCACTCAATTAGTCCACAATTAAACCAGTCCACCACTCAATTAGTCCACAATTAAACCAATCCACCACTCAACCAGTCCACCACTCAACCAGTCCACCACTCAACCAGTCCACCACTCAACCAGTGCACCACGCAACCAGTCCACCACTCAACCAGTACACCACTCAACCAGTCCAGAATTAAACCAGTCCATCACACAACCAGTCCACCACTTAACCAGTCAACAATTAAACCAGTCCAACACTCAACCAGTCCACCACTCAACCAGTCCACCACTCAATTAGTCCACAATTAAACCAGTCCACCACTCAATTAGTCCACAATTAAACCAATCCACCACTCAACCAGTCCACCACTCAACCAGTGCACCACGCAACCAGTCCACCACTCAACCAGTACACCACTCAACCAGTCCAGAATTAAACCAGTGCACCACGCAACCAGTCCACCACTCAACCAGTACACCACTCAACCAGTCCAGAATTAAACCAGTCCATCACACAACCAGTCCACCACTCAACCAGTCAACAATTAAACCAGCCCACCACTCAACCAGTCCACAATTAAACCAGTCTACCACACAACCAGTCCACCACTGAACCAGTATTTTACTCAACCAGTCCACCACTCAACCAGTCAACCACTCAACCATTCCAGAATTAAACCAGTGCACCACGCAACCAGTCCACCACTCAACCAGTACACCACTCAACCAGTCCAGAATTAAACCAGTCCATCACACAACCAGTCCACCACTCAACCAGTCAACAATTAAACCAGTACACCACTCAACCAGTCCAGAATTAAACCAGTCTACCACACAACCAGTCCACCACTGAACCAGTATTTTACTCAACCAGTCCACCACTCAACCAGTCAACCACTCAACCATTCCACCACTCAACTAGTCCACCACTCAACCAGTCCATCACTTAACCAGTCCACAACTCAACCAGTCCACCACCACAACCAGTCCACCACTCAACCAGTTCACCACTCAACCAGTCCACCACTCAACCAGTCCACAATTAAACTACTGAATGAGAGGATGACTATCGACTTTGTTTTAAACCAAATACTTTCTAAAATGGGTTTTGAAAAACAAAAATGTCCATTAAACGGGAAGCAAGGAACGAACGACCCCTGTAAATATACTGCATAATTGTTTTTTCAGAAAAGAAAATAACCAATGAATCTGATGTAGTATAATGAGTTTGTATTGTGAGACCAGTGATTGTATTGTTTTTTTAAAGCTGAAAATACTTTTAAAATTTTAATGCGAGAAATTTTGTCTGAGATATTTTGTCTGAGGTCATTTGTCAATGGTATCATTTGTTCTGATATATTTTGTTCTGGTATCTTTTGTCCATGAGATCATTTGTCCTTGACATCATTTGTCCTGAGATCATTTGTCAGAGAGATATTTTGTCCTAGAAATTTTGTCTGAGATCATTTGACCTGTCACCATATATATATAATATATATATATATATATATATATATATATATATATATATATATATAAATATATATATATATATATATATATATATATATATATATATATCAGAGGCGTAGCGAGGGGTTTACACCATTTAGAGGGGTGACGCCAAGGCAAAAAATAGCAAAATATGTACATAAAAATGATAATTCCACTTAATTGAGTAATTAATTCGAGTGTTAAATAGTCTTTTAAGAGGTGCAAATCGAAAGTTTGAGGGGGGGGGGGTGCAAATCGAAAATTGAAAGTTTCTCCCCGGGAAGGGTCGCTACGCCTCTGGGGTTGACACCATTAAGTGCCGCACCGGGTGATACCCGACCTCGCTACGCCACTGATATATATATATATATATATATATATATATATATATATATATATATATATATATATATATATATATCAGGGGCACTTTCCAAGCTTAATTGCCCCTGATACCCCTACTCACATTAATACTAAATTCCCCCACCCCCACCCCCACCCTTTACTCAACTAGTCTCCAGTATCGCAGTGCTCCCATTGATTTCGTCGCTAGCCACAGCGTTGTTCTCTGTTCTCATATTGTAACATCTGTGTACGTTTTCTTGGAAAATGCATTGCTGGCCACATTGCTGGCCACGTTGAAGTATGTTACAGATTAGTGTTGTTCTCGTTTTATTTTTTACGCCAGCTGTGTAACAGACAGACCAACAAGTCATCGGGAAACCGACTAGTGAGTTAGTTACCTATATTATTTAGTTTGCATTTTACAGCTTTCTTCGCCTCACTTTCACTTTCTCTTATTCGAAGTATTGAGAAAGAGTATGTCTGTGTCTGTGAGTCTGTGTGTCTAAGTGTCGGTGTGTCTGTGTGCCATTGTGCTTGTGTGCCTGTGTGTGTATGTGTGTATGTCAGTGTGTCTGTGTCTATAATTGCGCTTGTGTGTCTATGTGTGTGCGTGTGTGTCTTTGTGTCTGTGTGTATATGTTTATGTTTATTTCTTACTGCCATCATTTCAATGGGTTTTTTTTATCTTCTACGTTTTTCTTACTAACGAAATGTGCTTAAAAGTGTTAGTACTGTGAGCGACGAAATGGACAAATAACATATAGGATAGTCCAGACACTAAGGGACGCAATTAAATTTTTCACATCCCAGATTACCATCCTTGGTGTAAAAAAAAAACAACCCATTAAAACCTCCCTAAAGTTCTTATTCCGTTATAAACGAATCCCCACCTACTTTCCCCTCCCCCCCCCCCCCCCCACCCCCTTTCAGAAACACAGGCACGCCAAACCCCAGCTTCACCCACTTCCTTTAAATAAAACTTTTCCTTCCCATTGTTTTTCTTTTTCTACAACTTGAACTGCTATAGAAAAATTGCGTGGGGGTTAAACTGATAGTTTGCCCCGTGTGCGGAATACGTCGCGACGTCTCTAATCGTACTGTTAGGAGTAAATTTAGGGTAGTCACATTCGCTTAATTGTAATTGTATGTCAAAATAATAGAAAGATGCTGTAATTACGCCCAAACTTTAATTTTGGTTTACCACCCAAGTATAAGCAGAGGGGAGGCACATGGGAGACAACCCAGTCTACACACTATGGGAACATTCGTTGTCCTGTGTCTTTTCTGTTAATTTGTTAGGTGTTTATTTCTGAATGTAACAAGTGTCAAATACCTACACGGCATTCTCAAAAACAACTGCTTTTTCTTTGTTTTTTACAAGCTTTTAATCAACTTGCTTCCTCGATCTTTCTTGTCAAAGTTGCCGAGCGAAATTTTGAACACTTCTAACTGACCGTTTCGTTTCAAACTTGGCTTATGTGTTGAGAATTAATGACAATGCAATTGGATATCAAATTTAACTTAATTGGATGACTAAATATTTTTTTATGAATTAATTACAATTTTCTGAAATGTGTAGGGTGGCCTACTACTATTCCGCACTATTATACTCGCATTATCAATAGCTTTTAGTCATGAAACTCCATTGTATTAAAAATTCAGAAGTAGGCTACGCCTACTGAAAAACACATGCACTAAAAAGGAGAAAATAATTGATTTTCTTTAGAAACACTACTATTCAAATAACTGGAAAGAAAAGCGTGGGTTATATCCCAAACATTAGTAACGGTATCAAATTGATTATATAGTGACCCACGCTTTTCTCGTTAAAGTTATTTAGATGTGTATTATTATATACGAGCCGACCCGCGGCGTATCACACGCCGCTATTTAGTTTTATTTTCTACTTTTCACTAATTCATAATTTGTGAATTCGACAGTACCAATGCTGTCACTGAAAATATTTGCTTTAAAACATTAAGTCTGGCGCAATATTTTAAATGGGTTGCATATTTTATATTGTTAGACATGTGACCTTATTTTCTAGCACTCAGTTTTTAGCGCAATTTCCATACTGGGGGATTGCGATTATTAACTCGTCATTTCCGGATGGATGGATGGATGGATGGATGGATGGATGGATGGATGGATGGATGGATGGATGGATGGATGGATGGATGGATGGATGGATGGATGGATGGATGGATGGATGGATGGATGGATGGATGGATGGATGGATGGATGGATGGATGGATGGATGGATGGATGGATGGATGGATGGATGGATGGATGGATGGATGGATGGATGGGTGGGTGGGTGGGTGGGTGGGTGGGTGGGTGGTTGGGTGGATGGATGGATGGATGGATGGATGGATGGATGGATGGATGGATGGATGGATGGATGGATGGATGGATGGATGGATGGATGGATGGATGGATGGATGGATGGATGGATGGATGGATGGATGGATGGATGGATGGATGGATGGATGGATGGATGGATGGATGGATGGATGGATGGATGGATGGATGGATGGATGGATGGATGGATGGATGGATGGATGGATGGATGGATGGATGGATGGATGGATGGATGGATGGATGGATGGATGGATGGATGGATGGATGGATGGATGGATGGATGGATGGATGGATGGATGGATGGATGGATGGATGGATGGATGTGTGTCCGCAGCTTTAAGTCGTATCTCCTCCTCAACGAAGCAATATCGAGGACTAGTTCCAAAAGCAAATATGTTAAACAAGTTCCGAGGATGAACATAGGCCAAAACAATTCCCGGAATTACTTCCTGGATTTCCCGGAAAAGCCAAAAAACCTCGAAAAAATGCAGTTTTTGGCCTATATTTCGGCAACCAGACCACTTAGCGTCTTGAAACATTTACCAATCGATTTCTGACATAATTTAGAACAATATTGCCGAAGAAAGTTTTCAAAAATATCCTTTCGTTCGGTCACAAAAAGTTAATTTCTTCTAATTTGTATCGGCTAAGATTACTAAGAATATACAAATATTTCTAGAAGAAGCGAAGCGGTGAAGTTCCAAACCAAGCACACCGGCTGAGGCAGTCGCTAGTGAGAGGTAACGTCTACTTGTAACACGCTGCCATTGGCCAGACTCGCGCAGATCTCGCGAGGGGGCGATGACTAGCTCTGCTTGTCTGTGCAAACATCTACGGGTGATTCGTTTGGTCACAAAAAATTAGTTAAGGAAATTGCGCTTAAATTGTCACTAGACTTTTTATTAACTTGTTTAATGTAAACAATGCCAGTGCTGTATTTTTGGATCATACTTGTCGGGGCATGGGTTTGCCCACATTGCCGCCCATCACGCCCCAGAACGTGCTATCTGAAAGCATTGAGTGGAGGTTAATTACTCTCCGTAATAGAGTACCAATTCAGTTATATGAATGAAATTTCATTTCACCAAGCCTACGTAGCTAGTCGATTACCTATCGTGGATTTTTTTGGTTTACCATACAATAATACTATTGGTCAATTGTAGAATTTCTTCCTCGGCATTAATTCCCACGTTTTCTTTAACTTGCTTTCTCTGTTTGTTTGTCTTTCCAATCAAATCTTGCGATCGAAATTTCTGGCACTTCCCAGTTAGCTAGCGCGCTGAAATTTTCAGGAAAGCTTTCTTTTGGATGACCATTGAATATTCAATTGTTATTATTACTAAATTGATCAATGGAAACATTTTATTGAGCATTTTAGACCGCTATATAATCTATATATATAATTATCCTCTGCTAGCCATTAGAAAAAAAACCAGCGACGCGTACCTCGCGCGCAGTGAAGCGAACGATCACATGTCGCCACAGGCTTAGGGGCAGAGAATTTAGCTTGAACCGAGTTTAAACTTACAGGAGGTAGGCCAGTTTGGGGGAGACGATATGGTCGAGTGGTTGGGCACACGATTGCTATCCCACTCGACACGGGTTCAAATCTATGTGTTCTAGTCAGTAACGTATTCAAACAACGTGTTTTTTACGAGTTGTCTTTTTACGAGTTGTCTTTTTACGAGTTGTCTTTTTACGAGTTGTCTTCGTTTACCCAAAAAAAGTGAAAAGATAAAATCGATAGCAAGATTTTAATGCAAACAAACAGACAAAGACTAAAAAGTAGAAAATAATAATCATTAAAAAAGTTTTAAAAAACCCACGTTTTCTGATTGAACTAAAAAGTAGAAAATAAATGCTATAGGCCCTACATCACAATAATGCAAGCGATCACTCTACTATAAGCGAGCAAAAACGTGGGGCGCCGTGATTTTCTTACAGTTTCTAATACTGTTGACTCTCTACAAGCTCCCTAATAAAAGTCAATAGTATTATCTAATCAATAGTAATATAACTTTTACTTCGGCGACCCACGTTTTTGATCGCTTATAGTAGAGTGATCGCTTGCATTATTGTGATGTAGGGCCTATAGCATTTATTTTCTACTTTTTAGTTCAATCAGAAAACGTGGGTTTTTTAAAACTTTTTTAATGATTATTATTTTACGTTTATGCCCATATTCGGTGCTTGGTGGCCCTTTTTTTTTTTTACTTTCTAGAAAACAGTGTTTAACACACTTATATTTAGAACAAAGGAAAAGTTCTCTACATCAGCGTGTACACACGTGTTTGGCTCAGAGTTGGGTGTATAATGTATATAGTGCCTCGTAATAAAATGCGTAATACACGCTCGAAAATAGCCGCTGTACGAGTAATATTGTAAAAATTTGATGAAGGTACCTTGTATCACTTCGCAATTAAAAAATAAACGTTGGATTTAGATGTCCGAAATAATAGTGTTGCTATCGATTCCAATTCAGAAATAAGACAAATTGCGGGCAAAAATTATTTTTTGTCGAAAACATCGGTAATATCTATCCTTAAAATAAAAAATTAGAGAACCAAAAAAGCCAACACCATAATTTTTCTCGTAGTATACAATAAAAATGTCTACTTTACCAAATAAAAATAATAAAAATTTAGCAAATACCTACTTCCTAAGGACGACAATCGCCTCCTCACCAGTCTTCCACCCTTTGTCGTTCCTTGTGAAAAGAATTAATTCTATCGATCCACCGGGCAAAGTACACCCAACTGTCACACTACACGCAAACAAATAGTTCCCAAAAAGACAATAACCACGAATCAAAACAGAACAATACTAAGAACCATTATTTTTAAAGGACACTAGTAATTATTTTCAAAAATTAATATACATAACAACAAACAATAGTCCTATCCCATGTCTTGACAAACATTAGTTCCTTATTTATGACCTAGCTCAAGTCCTATTAACTAGTGTTTCTTCCAGACTTTTTTCTCCGGGGGTGCATTTGACATTTTCGGGGGGAAGGACAACAATTTCCGGGGGGCGGACACAGTCAAAAATATATATTTTCTATATAAATTCCATTTCGTTCGGGGGGGTAGACTTTCTTCGGGGGGGGGGGGGGGGGGGCGGTGCCCCCTTCCCCCCGAAGAGATGCCTGGAAGAAACTCTGCTGTTAACTAAATGAATTAGCATATGTCCTAACTCTTGTCCCGAGACATTACCTAGCACTACTTCTAACACTAATCATAAAACTTGTCCTTACTTTTACTCTACCACATGTTTTAGCACATTTTAATTCCTTGGTTATGTTCCCGCACATGTCCTTAATCGTGTCCTACACATCCCCTCACACCTATGTCATAATACATGTCCTCACACACCTGCTCACTCATGTCCTCGCACATGTCCTATTACGATTACATAACGCTTCCGCATGAGTGTATTCTGACAAAGAACTGAGACTAATTCCTCATTAAGCAGAGAGCAATTAACATTGAAGTTGACAGTTTTTGATGTATTGAGCAACATGTACTTGTCGTATTCAACCTTTCCGTAGTACACGGTAAACTTGAGGTTAACCCCAATCCTTTTACTTCACCCATCTTTCTGCCAACAGTCTGCTTCCTTCCTATTCAATTTTAATATTGGTTTTCGACTGTCCATTAACCTATTATTTAAATCTGATTAACCTTCCTATTTGTACCAATGAATGCAAAATGTGGGACAATTGAGAACTTCCTAGTTCATTTTTTATTTATTTTGTGAGTACTCGGCTTTATTTAAAACGTACTATATCTGTTTAGAGCCCTTACTGCCGCAGGATATTGGTGTTTCTGAAAAAAAGATGACATTTAAAACCCCCCATCCAATCTGCATATGAAAAGATGGTGAGATCAGCACTACGCCCAGCCATCTTTTACTTTCCCCAACGTAAGTCAGGTACCTATTAGAGCTGAGTGAACACAGGGATGTCCTACTGTCACAAATCCAAAACAAGATTCAAATTTGAGAACAAAGCGCTCTGCCATTCGACTATTACATTTCTCTTTTTCCCATTTAACTAAATATTTATCAAGCGTAGAAAAGTATTTTATTTGTTTTCTTTATGTCGCCGGATTATACGACAGATTGTTTTTAAGACGTTTCATAATTTTAAAAAAAGTTTTTTTTACTACGTCAGACTGTTAAAAATGCTAAAGTACAAGGTTCAAGTGTTGGAAAATAAAGATATTTTGTTTTCAAAAAGTTACACTTTTTAGCCTGTTTGTGTGTGTGTGTGTATGTGTGTGTGTTCATGCGCGCGTGTGTGTGTGTTCGTGCGTGTGTGTGTATTCGTGCGTGTGCGCGTGTGTGTTCATGAGCACGTGTGTGCGTGTGTGTTCGTGCGCGTGTGCGTGTGTGTGCGCATGCGTGTGTTTGCATCTGTATGCTTGTGCTTGTCGCAGAATTTAATGGGAAGGAGGCGAGAAGGAAGAGGAGGGGAGTTCGCCTCGCTGTGCTTGTCCTATATACCAGCCATCTATTGTTATACAGTCACGAAGCCACTTATTACATAAAAACGAGAATACAATGGGTGCAATAATACAATGAGTGCACCTAGGCCTAAGCTACGGCTGCAGCACAGCAGAAAGCTCAACCTTAACAACCTGATTTTACTTCCTGTAAAACCAACAGATGTGCCCAAACCGTGAGGAAAAGACTCGCTCATCCATACCCCGTCTCCTCTCTCTGTCACACTTCCCCACCCCACGCACCAAGAATTAAAACCTTAAAAAAAACTTTGTCTATTTCAACCAAATGTTATAGTCACAGTTTACACAACTTCCACATCAAATTGAGACAACCGTGACATTTTTAGTGACTCTTTATGTCCCCATTCACCATATTTGAATAACTCTATAATGTGAGCTGTGGTGTTTTTGTGTTCACCTGGTTTGAATAAATGAGTTTCTTGACAAATTTTATTAAAATTTAACAACGCTATTTTAAAAGAAATTTGAAATATTGAGTTATTCCATTTGTGACAAAGTAAACATTTTCCCGAAGAGATGCCTGGAAGAAACTCTGGAAGTAAGAGCTAAGTCAAGATGAATAATTTTAGAACCGAATTTTACAGTAGGAAGATGCTATTAATTACGTGAGAACAATAACTTTAGTACCTTCTTTTAAAGTTAAAGTAGGAATATGTTATTAATTACATGAAAAAATAATTTTAGAACCCTCTTTTAAAGTAGGGATATGTCGTTAATTACGTGTGAACAATAATTTTAGAACCCTCTTTCAAAAGAGGAAGATGCTGTAATTTTCCCCCTAACGTTAATTATGGTTTTCCAACCTAATATAAGCAGAGGGGCGGTATGGGAGACAACCCAGCCTACAGCCTGTGGGAACTGTGTCTCATCTGTGAATTGTTCAATGTTTATTTCTGGATAGAACAAGTGTCAAATACCTACACGGCATTCTCATTATCAGTTGCTTTTATTTAGTTTTCGTTTGGTTTTGTTATTTTTAAGTAAAAGGTAAATCGAAATTATTGAAGAAGTATAGTTTATCTTTTACTATTGTTAATTTGTGTTAATGTGTTGTACCGTGGCTTTTAAAAACGTTAATAAGCATAAGCAGTTCAGTTCAGATGTTACCAGTTGCTTTTATTTAGTTTGGTTTGATTTGTTACTTTTAAATAAAAGGTAAATCGAAAAAAAATACATTTTAAAATGAAGTAGAGTTTATCTTTTACCATTGTCATTTTTTTACCACGGCTTTTAATTACATTAACGGGGGTAAGCTTCAGAAAAAAAAAACGTCTCAACTGATAAGCTTTACTTATTTATGTGTGTGTGTATCTAAGCTATGATATTTGCAACAGGGACTCTTCAGAAAGTATGACTTTAGTAACTTTATTCGAGGTGGGGGGGGGGGGGACTTAAGAAGAGAAACCTTGAAGCTACGGCAGGATTTAGTAATGTGGATTCAAAAAAGTTTACAGTAATTGCGAAACGTCTGAAACAACAAAAACACGGTTAAAATTATTTTTATGAGTAGCGACATGCAAAAAAAAAAAAAAAAAAAAAAAAAAAATGCAAATTGTCATTTTTTTTTTGGTGTCATTTTTTTTTCCAGAAAACATGAAGAGTCACGTGATTTTGAATCTGTGTGTGTTGGTGTGCTGTCTCGTCTACGCCTTGGCGGACATGTCGGCGGCATGGTCAAAAGCGTCAAGCATGTGTCACTCTACCCCCATCGCATGCATTGCGCTAGCCGAAAGTGCTTCTATGCCGACATCGGACGCTGAGTGGTGCACCTTGATGAGGATGACGAAAGATGGCGTCACCGGTTACCAGTGTGGGGTGTCCATTGGGTTTTGTACAGACCAGGAGTTCATTGAACTCGAGAAGGCCGCATGTGGAGGGACAACAAAATCTCCGAGACAATCAAGCAATGCTAAAACAATATTTTATAATAAAATCGCAACCATCAACCCCAATTGTCAGGTTAAATTATTGCAATGTATCGCTAACAACGTCGTGAGCACTGTTTTCAAACAACAGGAACAATACTGTAAGCTTGTCAACAGCAGATATATGGTAGAATGTATGGGGCTAGACTGTATCAGAGGTCTCAACCAGACAGCCTGTGCCTCGCATGAATCGCAACCTTTTTCAGACGCCATCGTGGGTACAGCACATACTTGTCAAGACGCGCTACAAAAATGTGCTCATCGAAACCTAGCCACAGCCCTGATCCGTGCTGGGAAGTACTGCGATGCTATGAATTACTCTCAAGATGGTATCAATATTGCGGATTGCTTAAAAGGAAACCAATGCACTGTGACTGAGGTGGATAAGTTGAGAACCGCGGCCTGTAGTAATAGTGGCAGTGTTAGTGGTTCTAACATCATTAGTTCTCTTCTTGTCTTTATCTTTGCTGTTTTGTCTCAAGTGTAGAAAATCAACGGAGTTTTTTTTGTTTTTCAATGTATTATTACACAGCTGCATGAGACACCACCCTTCACTCTCTAAGTTTGCACATTATATTATAAATATAAGCTATATTGTATACAATATGAATAGATCTAGAACATAATTGATTGAACGTGATTCTTACATTGTATGAAACACGACTTCCCATAGATTTATATATAGGAAATCGTACTATTCGTTCCGAGATCGAATTTTCTAACATACGCGAAACAAAAACTGCAAAGCATGTTGGCCTAGTTAAATAACCCTACATATATATATATATATATATATATATATATATATATATATATATATATATATATATATATATATATATATATATATATATATATATATATATAAATATATATATAAATATATATATAAATATATATATATATATATATATATATATATATATATATATATATATATAATTCTCTTCTGGGAGACGATAGAAAACAAGCTGTAAACGCGCTCCCTACCACCCCCACCCCTACAGGGTCTTAGTGAGCTGTGTTCACTCTAAATGTTTACAAGCAGAGCCGGGTTTAGTGACGACTATTAGGGGCAGATAATTTAGTTTGAAACGATTTTAAACGTATGCAGGGCGGAGGGAGTTGGGGGGAGTGGGGAAGGAAGGGGGGGGGGGGGTTATGGTCCTTAACGTGCTACTTATACAGTTTTAAAGAAATATTTTCAGTGGCAGCGTTGGTACCGTCGAATTCACAAATTATGAATTACTGAAAAGTAGAAAAACAACAACTAAATAGCGGCGTATGTTATGCCGCGGGCCGGCTCGTACAATATATTTAAACAGAACTACAAACACAACTGACAAACGCTATTATAAACAACGATTCGCCTGTAGTTTTTGTTCTCTTTAAGGATTTAAGGGTGCAATAACTATAACAATAATGGAACATCGTAGGCCTGTTCTAACTGAATTATAAATACAAACTGAGTACAAAATGCACATATGTGATGCATTTTGTTTACAATGGCAGTAAAGTAAAAAATAAGAGTTATTTTCTTGACCTGGCGGTCAGTCTGGCAGATGAAGTAGAGTATATCTGTTTCTATGACTCGGCCTAGTGTGGGCATATATATAGCCAATAATTTTCCCTACATTGTCAGCGCATTATAGAGCTCACGACTGCTACCTCGAAAGTGTTGAGTTTGATTCCATCTGACCTGAAGTGAGCCCAGCTCTAATGGGTACCTAGCTCAAAGTTATAGACAATATTATGATGGAAGTTGGGGGGAGTTAGGTTAAGAAAAACAACAGAAACAGTAACTTTGCCTACGACACTGATGATATAAAAGATCAAGAACAACAATCACTGAAGTTGAATAACTTCATTTTTGTCTCCGCCGCTGGTTATCAATGGGGCGGCTTCTCGAATATTATCTAGCATATATTTATATATATATAAATCCATATACTTATTACGAATTTAACCTTAAAATGCTGTTATAATTAAATACTAAATGATTTACTAATACTAATGCCTTAATCCTCAAAATAAACTTCTACTTCTACAAACTTGTTATCGTTATTTTTTGTGCTTGTGCATTGCATTTTTTTTTAATAATGTCGCAGTCAAGGATGTTATTAAATCTCAGTAGAAGTTTTAACCGGTCCATATGTCAACTGGTTCATCGCTCAACCAGTCAAACACTAAACCGGTCCAATCACTCTACCAACTATAATCATGTCAGAAACGACAAACACAAAAATAACTTCCCCCAAAATTTTATTTCTTCAACTTGACATGCGGTGAGACTTCAGTGACATCAATGACATCGTCATCTTCCATGTCCAGCTTGCTGGGTGTGTCCATGGGGTCAATGACGTCACCGTCAAAACAAAACGACAGGGCGCTGGACTTGACGTTCATCATTGCAGCATATTTTTCTATCACTTCTTTTAATGGTCGTCGCTGGAGACATACACAAAATTTTATTTTGAAAGAATGAAAGCATCATTTGAAATTAAAAGTAATTTTATTCTGCCGTTAATAAATTAATCACTTCTTTTAAAGGTTGTGATTATACACAAAATTTCATTTTAAAAGAATAAAAGCGTCATCCGAAATTAGAAGTAATTTTATTTTGCTATTAATAAAATAATTAAGTAACAACAAATTGTTATTTTTATTTAGTTTTATTAGATAGGCATAATGATCAAATAATCAACATTTACAAATATTTGATTAAGATTTCTTCACTGATAATTTTAAAATAATTTCTTACAACTACAGAAACAAAACAAAAAAGAAAGCATGCTATTACTATTACTTAAATTGTGTTTATTTTTTTTGCAGATATCACTGAACAAAGTAGTACCTACCCAAATAGACCCTCATTTAAACTGTTTTTTTTTAATTTACCCTACTTTGAATATGTGTAGTCTAATGACAACAACTTTTTGTTTTGGTTTACTTACCTCTCTTATACCTTAAAAAGACCATATAAACCAACAAACCTATTATTCTATTCTATTTTTACCTTTTTTTCTCTACAAACCTGCATGTTATCTGCAGGATAACAGATGGTCTAGTGTCTGATAACTTATGGACTTACTTTTGAAACAATTTACTTGTCTATATCACATTTATTCTATTTTTTATTTTATTTTGAACAGTAAATTTCTAGTCAGGATATGACTTATTTATTTATTTGAAACAAACTTACCTGTTTGGATCATACACTTACTATGTTATTTATTTATTGAAAACAAAATTACCTTTCAAGATCATACACCTAGTTATTTATTTGAAACAAAATTACCTGTTTGGATCATACACTTACTATGTTATTTATTTATTGAAAACAAAATTACCTTTCAAGATCATACACTTAGTTATTTATTTGAAACAAAATTACCTGTCTGGATCAAACACTTAATATGTTATTTATTTATTGAAAACAAAATTACCTTTCAAGATCATACACTTAGTTATTTATTTGAAACAAAATTACCTGCCTGGATCATACACTTACTCTGTTATTTATTTATTTAAAATAAAAAATTACCTGACTGGCTAAGATGACTGTTCTGGATTTTGTGTTCTTACACTGGAGGACTAAATTGATCGAGTCTGTCTCATCTTCAAGCTGCGAGTTGATACAGTGACATTCTGTGGATGTACAGTAGAGACCTAGCTATACAATGGTTCAGATTGAAAGTAAACCCCAGTACCGTAAAACATATGTGGATGTACAGTGGAGACCTAGCTAGCCTAATACAATGGTACAGATTGAAAGTAAACCTCAGTACCATAAAACATATGTGGATGTACAGTGGAGACCTAGCTAGCCTAATACAATGGTACAGATTGATAGTACCAAAAAACATCTGTGAATGAACGCCTAACTCAATGACAACAGACCCAGGAGAGCTCCATAATCCCAATTCTAACCGGCAGTTAAAAACACTGACAAAGTTTGTCTGCTACAGACAACTTGACCAATCAAGGATAAACACAGTTGAAGATAGTAGAGTTGAAAACTGACAAGTTGAGTGACCAAGGCCTAAACACTATTCTGACCTGTTAGTATATCTGCCACTGAAAAAGTGACTGAACCAGGCCTAAACAAAATTCTCACTAAAAAACAAAAATCACTGACCTAGTATATCTGCCACTGAAAAAGTGTCTAACCAAAGCCTAAACACAGTTCTAACTAGAGGGTAAAAACACTAACCTAGTATATCTGCCACTGAAAAAGTGTCTAACCAAAGCCTAAACACAGTTCTAACTAGAGGGTAAAAACACTGACCTAGTATATCTGCCACTGACAAGTTGACTGACCGAGGCGTCTCTGACAGCTGCAAGCCTTTCTCATGCAGGTACAGCACCAAATTGTTCGCGTCCTCCCCTATCAAAGCACTCAACTTGCTAGTCAGACCATGGAACTTTTCTGTCTGGATGGTGAAAAAATAATTTCTTCAATTTGCATGGATAAAAAAAAGTAAAGTTCAGTTTTTGAACATGACAGGCTATAGGGCAAGTGAAGTAGAGTTTACCTGTTTCTGTGACCATCGTCATTTGAAGGGATAGTGTGGTCAGCACTATGCTTAGCCACCTTTACATTCCCTAACATGCATGGATGGTTTTAACTAACAACCTAGGGGATTGCATGTTCATATAGCACAGAAGAAACTTACTAGTTCAAACACATGTTTGTTCCTTGAGTTTGTCCACCGAACTCAAGTCAGTTGCAAAGTATTAAACAACTCCAGATGCACGGAGATGAAAGATACAGATAAGCTCTTCTTCACCTACTCTATGTAATGAGCAGTGAACTCCAACTGACCATTAGGTCAAAAACAGGAACTTACTTATATACTAAAAGCTATTAAAACATATGCCGAGGTCACACAAACAAGTGAACTCTACTTCACTTGCCCTATAGACCGTTAGGTTTGAAGAGGGAACTTTATTAAAACAGAATAATGTTCACATTTAATCATAAATTATTTTAAATATTTAAACACCATATTAATTACAAATCCAAAGGCACTCCCTTGAATGCTATGCCCAGGTTTTTAAAAAAACCCAGTAAAGTTCTCTTTTCAGACCTGACAGTCAATAGGGCAAATGAGGTAGAGTTAATTTGTTTCTTTGACCACTGCATATAAAGGGTTACTACAATACCCAGCAGCTTTTTACTTTTCATAAAAATTAGGCAGGGGCCCAACTGAGCTCTGGTGTAGATGCGAGTACAAGATCAGAACTTCATTTCAAATTAGCGGGACAAGCACCCTACAACATGGCCGCTTTATCCAAGGACAGCTGACCAGACACACCACATTACTGGAAAAGAATCCCTCCCTCCCTCCCTCCACATGTCTCGAGCCATACCCCTGGGTGAGCAAACCACAAAGTGACGCAACATTTATTTTACTTACCATTTTCATTTGTATTCTATAAACAGTGGAGAGGTAGCGCACTTTAACTGCCATATCTGTATTTGTTTCTTCATACACTAAAATGACATCACTATCCCTTTTCTTCTTTGGCGTGTTAGGGGACAGCCCAAGCTTTTTATTAGCCTTATCCAGCACCCTGCAAAATTAATTTTTCATTGGACAAACAGCAAAGTTAGACAAAGTCTTTGAGTAATTTATTTTAACACCTGTAGCAGAGATTAAAACAAAACTTACTGCAGGGCCCCTGTTAATTTTTTGTTCAGCCGTTTGCTCTTTTTTTGTTGGATACTAGGGGGAGGTGTAGGAGACCGGACTTCTATGGATTCATCCATCGATTTCATTAATGAATCGTCACTCACATCTATGTTTAATGCTTTACTAAAAAAATATTTTAAAAAAAACACATTAAAAATGCTTATAGCTAGAATTAGATAGAATTGTAATTTTAAAAAATACAATATATAAATATTTAGTTATAAATTATTCTTGTAGATGATAGCATAAAACTACCAACTTTTCTAACAATTCAAATTAATCATGAACTAAACAACAATTGATCACTTGCCATTCTGGAACTGTATGAATCTCATCATCATCTTCATTTAATAACTGTTCTTTAGTCTTTGCTTTCCGGCTAACTTCACGACCTAAAAAAGATTAAAGATAATTTTATTCAAAACATTTTGTAAAATTCAGTTACTCTTACCTTTTTAAATTAAATGCCAAGTTTCAGTATCCTAAAGAAAGTTAAACTAAACATACCAGATCTGCTAAAAATATGTAACAGCGAATCTTCTTACTATATTGCACTGCATTAAAGTGGTTCTTTAAATTAGGAATAAGACCTTGTTACTAACAAAAAGACTATAAAATATGTACGTTATGAACTTGTTCAAATGATGTTTATAGAGTTCTGTTTTAAGTATCAAAAGTATAAGTTTCAATGTCACTCCTTAAATAAATTTTGAAAGACATTACTTAAAATTTTTTTAAAAAGTAGCTTTACTCAAAGCAAGATGCCAACCTAAGTTTTGATAAGTTGAGATAGAGTAGGCGGGATCTATATCAAAATAAAATATAGTTGGCCTAATGTGTTGCAGATGAAGCACAGCAAATACCATGTGATACTCCTTAACAGAGAAGTACTTAAACTAATAGATTTTAAAAACCACATTGGAGATTACACTCACTATTAACTGTGTTTACAGGCTCTTTACTTGACTCTATGCTTTTGCTGTCTTTAGCTATGGGCATGAAAATGTCTTCGAATCTCTGGGGGACTAGGGCCGAGTACACTGACACATTGTGTTTTGGCTTCTCTTCTGAATCGTGCAGTGTCACATTTTTTCTGGCCAATCCCCTGCAGGCTATTTTCCTCACTTTTTCTGGTGGGCTGGAAGGATCAACTTTTTCAGTGTTTACAGTCTCATTTTGAATGGGGCTATCTGATATTGAACAGTCTGAGGTTTCCAAACATGGCACATTTGTAACTTCATCTGAAGGAGAGGTTTCAGGAACTAATTTTTTCCTAGATGACCTCACTGTTGGTGCTCTGGATGAGGTAGAAGTTTTCTTTCTGCCCCTGCCTCGCCCCCGAGAAGCTGTTTTCTTTTGCCTTGGGCTAACAAATATAACCTCATCATCAGAATCATCTAGGTCAATCATCTCCATTATTAAACTTCTGAAGAAAAAAAGAAGACAAAGAGTGTGGCAATTAAAATATAGATTCAAATGTAAATATTTTAAAAAGAAATAAATGTCATGCATATAATTCAGAGGCGTCGTGAGGCGGGGGTGCCAACCGCACAGGGTAACATCAATTATGGCGGTGACACCATGTCGAAAAATTGCAAAATATATTGAAATGCATTTTGCCAGCTAGATTAAGGATTAGTTTGTTAATCATCCTGTATAAATAAATGACTACTATTAACTGTGCACACTTTAAAATTATCAACGGAGGGGGGAGGGAGTAGACGACTTCAAAAATAAGAGGAAAAAAAGGTTTTGTAGAGTATTTTGAATTTTTAATCAACAACCGGGAGGAGTGACACGATGAGGTGCAACACCGGAAGACACCTGACCTAGCGACGCCACTGATATATCTAATGAATTCAGGTCTAGGCCTACATGTTACATGGCTTGATAGGCCCCTAACAATAGATCTAGTAGTAGAGCTAGATTCTAGTCTAGTAGTAGATCTAGTAGAGTCTAGTGGTGACAACTTGTAAATTACAAGTTGTAATTTAAGTAGATCTAGATCTAGATCTTCTATAAGTCCATAACTATAAGTAATCCGTTCTAATTATTTGATTATTTTTAATATTTTATTACAAAATCTATTTTAGTTAGCCTTAGTAAAAAAAATAGTATCTACTAGATACTAGACTTCTAGATCTAGATAATCTTTAATCTAGATCTCTAGGTCTAGCTTGCTAGCTTTGGATGATTTTACAATTCTACGTTAGATATTCATCATATTAGTATTATTAGATCTCTTGTTCTAGATTAGGACTTATTACTTATTAGGTAGATATTATCATAATAAAAGTAGGCCTAATTAATACTAATATGATAATCATAATAGTTAGTATTACTTCTATCGTTTTAGGTATGTAAAATTGCCCGCAACTAGTAATGTGAAAAACAGGTGACTCCTTAAATTTTAATAATTATTTAATATTTAACATTTTGAGGAGGATTTATGTTTTGAAAAATACAAAAATGTTTCCTTGTTTCATTTCGGCCATTTTTGTACCTGTTTTTAAACAATTGAATTAAAACCTTTCAGTAATAAATGAAGACTAGCAATGTTTCCAACAGATGCAACCATGCTCATTTACTATAGCAGCTATCTTGTTTATTTATTTTTTTATCCCAAACTTATAGCGCGAGATTCAGGGGAAGCCACTCTAACTTACAGATGGCCGCTTTTTATATAGTAGTATAAGTATAATGTATAGTATAAGTATAGTAATAGGCCTAAGTATAGCAAATCCTGCTCGCAAACACTGCTGTTTAAAGTTAATTTCTTGCCTATATTCACATATTGATAGCCATTGATTTAGGTTTATTATTCATTTAATATTATCTAGGCCTATAGGCTAATATTTGACACAAATATATCACAATATACTTCTATTAAAGCCTTGACAATGAGGTAACTTTTTTGTACATTACTAGATCTAGATTTAGATCTAATCTAGCCACTGGCGATTTTACGGACCTAAAGTAAAACGATAGATTACCACTTCTTTTACTTTTAGTAATGTATGTAGTATGTAGGGCCTAACAAATAACAAACATTCAAATAAAAACAATTAGATTCTAGATTCTAGATCTAGATCTCTACTATTTACATAATAGATCTAGATTCTAGATCTAGATCTATATCTAATGATTCTAATCTAGATTCTAGATCTATTATCTTGGCGGGAGTTATTCACCTGGTGACACTGACTGACAGAACTGAGATAAAACACTGAACACTGAACAACAGTCACCAGTGAGAGACGGCTGGCTCAACCTTTTACAGTCTTACAGACAAGAAATGTTGACTAACGTAATAAAATAAATAATATTTTCTCGTCTTACATAAAACACAGATCTAGATCATCTAGAAATCTAAATAGAAGGATAAACTTGACAATAACTTCGTTGAACGTTTGCTAAAAATAGAATCAATGTTGACTTTCAGACCAGTTGTTGTAGCTTTGTTTTTCTTTTAGTCTTCTGGATTCTAGGCTAGATTACAGTTGATGTTTTTAAATAACTTGAGGTTGTTTTTTTACTGCCACTACTAAAGTTAGACCTAGTCCCTAGGCCCCTACCTACGAAACCACTTCGTTTATTTTGTAACCGAGACAAACAAGTGTACCAGTCTTATTCGTATGTAGATCTAGATCTATGCATATTTAAATATTTATCATTAAATATTATTCTGAACAAATCAACCTAGGCCTAACAAAAAATTAGTATTTTTTAGGATGAAGAGTATGAATTCAATTAGCACAGGTCTGTGGCCAAGTAGGGGGGGGGGGGGGGGGGGAGGGGGGGGGGGCTAGGCCCCGAAAAATGTCCACTCTCCCCCCCCCCCCCCCCCCCCCGAATGAAAAAGAATTAATATTAAAAAATGTGCCCCCCCCCCCCCCCCGGAAGAAACTGTTTTCAAAATCCTGTTTGTGCAGATTTGAAGTTATCTACATTCAAGCTTATTTCCTTTACAAAGAATCTATATAAAAATACCATCTCCAATTTTACAGTACATAGGGCGGATGAAGTTGCGTGTACCTGTTTTAGTGTCTTCGACACATGAAGGGTTAGTGTGGTCATCACTATCTATGCTCTGCAGCCTTTACTTTCACTGACCAAAGTCATTATCTTTCGTAAAGGGATATAACCATGTTTTTTTTAATTCGTCGAAAATATTAAGTGTGTTGTTTCCCTTTGCAAGGAGAATAACGGAATGCTTTTGCTGTTCACTGTTTGCTAGGCCTAGATCTAGCTTTTAATGATTTAGCTGAAACCTGGTAACCATAATTTATTAGTGAACCATTTTGGTTAATGCTTGTTTTATTATATTTTAATAAAATTATTATTTTTTATTTGATTTAAAAGAAAAAGTGATTTATCACACTCTGATTTTCCCTTTTCTATTTCACCGTAAGTCTCGAGTTCGAATCCTGGTTCAAGTAAGTAGACCGTCCCTGAGTCCACCCAACTCTGATGTGTACCTAACTCAGGGAAGGAAGAGTAAAGGCGGCTGGGCATAGTGCTGACCACACTATCTCTTCATAAGCCGAGGCAGTGGCGTAGCCAGGATCGTCTCACGGGGGGGGGGTTCCAATATTGCACCCCCCCCCCTCAAACTTTCGATTTGCACCCCCCTCCAACTTTCGATTTGCACCCCCCCCCCCCACGCTCATACTTTATATATATACCGAGGGGTCTATGGGCCCCCCCTAACCCCCCCCCCCCCCTGCCTACGCCACTGAGCCGAGGTCACAGAAACAAGTGGACTCTACTTCACTTGCCCCATAGACCGTCGGGTTAGAAAGGGAAACTTTTTTACTTCACACATCGTTACTTAATTAATATTATTAAATGCACTTATAAACTAGAATTCTAGATCTGGATATTTCAATATTGTTTAAGTTTTCGTGATGCTAAACTGACTGGCGGCCATGGTCGATTTTGTCAACGGCTTATTAAGGCTCATTTCGGTTTAAATACATAGTCTACTAGTATACTACATACATAGGCCTACATATTATACTAATAGATCTCTAATTTCATTTCGAAATGCCTAGCGCGTTAAGCGCTATGTTAACGGAAACGATTTTTTGTGTTGTAAACAGTAAACAAAATGTGATGTCTAAGAATAGTTCAAAATGGCAGACCAAAAGTCCCTGTAGCTATTTTAGATCTAGATCTAGGGTTAGTGAATAAACATTAAATAATACAAACCCTCATTTTTAAAAACGGATGATATTTAGATTCTAGATCTGCAGCTTTTTCGTTTTGAAGTTTTGAAAGTTTTTTCAGGTTGGTCTTACTTACTCTTACTTACAGTCTTAGTGACTCTTAGTCTTACTCACTCAGACTCAGAGACTACTCAGAGAGTCTACTACTCTTAGTCTTGTCTTAGAGACACTCTTGTCTCTTAGTCTTAGTTAAATTACTAAAAAATTAGTTAGTCTTGGGACTCTTAGAAGACAGTCAGAAGACTTGAAACTTGAATGAAAGTGAACTTCAATTTCAAACTTCTTTCAATCACTTTCATTGAAAGACGTTTGAAATTGAAGTTAGAACCAGAACTATTTGATTTTCATTTTGATCATAGTGTAAACTAAAGTGTAAAGAGAGTAAAGACTAAAAAATAAAAAGACTAAGAGCACTTGATTTTGTATTTTTAGTATTTGACTTTTGGTGGTAGTTACTATTCTGACCTGGGTTCCTAATGCCTAATACTAATAACGAGCCGACCCGCGGTGTATCATACGCCGCTAATTAGTTGTTGTTTTTTCTACTTTTCAGTAATTCATAATTTGTGAATTCGACAGTACCAATGCTGCCACTGAAAATATTTGCTTTAAAACACTAAACCCCCCTTCTCCCCCCCCCCCCCGTGAAAGCAGCCTCCTCTTAGTTACCTCCTCTAAGTTTAAAATCGTTTCAAACTAAATTATCTGCCCCTAATAGCCGTCACCAAACCCGGCTATATGATTGTATTATGTAAACATTTAACGTGAACACAGCTCACCAGGCATTGTGAGGGGTGAGCGGGGGGGAGGGGGTAGCGATAGAGAGGAAGAGAGGGGATTGCAAGGCGCGCTAGCAGCTTGTTTTCTAACGGCTCCCAGAAGAGAATTATATATATAGATAGTGTATTAGATTAGTTCCTGCCGCTATTATTTAATTATTAAGACCCGTGTCCCCATAACCATGGCTGCTATTCGGACCTGTGCATTAAGTTTGGAAATATATATTTGAAATATATAGGCCTATAGATCTAGTAACTAGGTACACACTCCTGTAACCAGTAGGCCTATTAAAATTATACTTTCTATGTTTATTTAATATTACTTGTGGATTTTCTCATATGACTATGTTTATGTTGTTGTGTTTCATTGTGTTTTTTAAATAGGGCCTAGTTGTGTGGATTTGCTTCTGTAATGTTAGGTCCTTCTATTTTTAAATACCCTGCCCTATAGACTATAGATTATAGATTCTATATATTCAGCTCTATAGGCCTAACAAAATAATTAAGTAGGCCTACCTATTGAATTCATATTAATAAATAACGTCGTGCCTCCCAAATCTATGAAGTTACCAGTTCGGAACCTAACTAAACAAGAATTTTTCTTTGCTTATTCCTGGTATATCTTAAACTGTCAGTTTTGTTCGATTGTCCAATCAGATAAGTATTTAACTAAGTTTCTAGTTCTGTCTTAATCATTGCTTTGTATATTTGTTGATTTTTTTTTATAGATTCTATACCCTATCTTTTCTAGATTAAGATTTTTAAACATGCCATTTCTACACGCCGTTGCTCATATGATCACCTTCTCACGTTTTCTTGTCAACACAAGCAAAATACTGACACAGTAGCAGTACATAATGAATCTCATCTGATGTTCTGATTTTTACTTGTTTATTTGAAGATTTAGAATTTTGAGTTAGACTTGCCCCTTTTCCCTAGAGCAGTGGTTCCCAACCTTTTTCGAGTGGCGACCCCCTTTCATAAAACGTAAGTGACCCGCGACCCCCATATAATTAACAAGTCTAAATTAGTAAAGAAAATAATAAGCACTCAATTAATATTTTCTAGTAGACTTTCAATATGAATTATTCTTGATAACTGTTTTAATACGATGAGCAAAATTACATGCTATTAACAAGCATTAACTAGCATTAACAATTAAATTTTACAAATTTAAGAATTCATCTTGTTATTCATCGGCAATGCTGGTAACATCAAGGAAAGCAGAGAATGGGTGACAAAGCAAATTCCTCTTCTTTCAGCTCGGGGAAAATAACGCCGCAGTTCATTCTCAAGAGATTCAAGATGCACAGAATCCTTTAAAATTTTATCTATAACACCACACAGCAGAGTTTCTCAAACATGGCAGTATTTCATATAAGCTTATGTTGATCGAATATATCTGCTAGGTATGATACTCTCTCCAACCACACCATGTCGTTAAAGCATATCAAAAGGTCTTGTTTCCTTGCACTACCAAGAAGATCTTGATTTCATCTTTCAATTCAAAAACACGATTGACATTTCCTATTGACAGCCAGCATACTGAAGTGTAGAACCTCATGATCTTTATTCATGTCTTTGCACAATTCTTGAAACAGACAGGTGTTTAGGGTTCCAGATTTAATATGATTTACGACTTTTATTAGCAATGGAGTCGGATAAGTCTTGCTGGCGAGAGCATATGTGAATCATGCAGTGGATTCCCTGTCATTACTTTTTTCTGAAACCCCTATTTTGACCCAAACATGACGCACCATCCGTACAAGCCCCACAGCCGTTTTCCCATTTTAATCCTTCAGTTTCAAAAAATGTATTTATTTTCTCCATGATATCTTCACAAAACATCAACTCTTATTCGCTAACATCTGAATGAATATATTTCACAAAGACAAGCAACTGCAAATACGAACTCACGTCTGTCGACTCGTCAACTTGGAAATCAAACAATGGTGAAAGCTTGATTTCATTCTAAATTTGTCTTTTATTATTAGACAGAGATATTTGTTGCATCTTTACTGCACTGGAATCCCCAAGAATTAATTTTACCATCTTCAGCATACATGGTTTGATGAGATTTTCTCCTTTGTGTGAGAGGTTTTTTGCTTGGCAATTTCTAATACTACTTCATATGATGCTTGCACTATAATGTGTTTTCTTGGTGAAAACGTTCTGTTCGATCAAGTCTCTGACGTTTGCAACTAGCTTCATGCTGACGAAAGAAATACATATCTTTTTCTGTGTGTTCCGAGTGACTCGTCTCAAATTGACGTTTGGAAGTTTTCATAGACTCCTGACAAAGAACAACTTTGCACAGTACAAATTGTTTATTCTCTATTCCATTTCCAGTGATGTTAGTAATGCTGAATTTCAAATATTTTTCTAAATATTTATGTTTTTTATTCATTGCTAGAGTTTAGTATACCAGTTGGCGACCCCCCAGAAAGCCCTTCGCGACCCCCAAGTGGGTCTCGACCCCCAGGTTGGGAACCCATGCCCTAGATTGTTAAAAATATAAAGATACCCATTCTGACTTTAAAATTAATTACTTATAAATAGTGCATATTAAGTTAGTCATATTTCTGTATCCCCCATATATAGGCCCTATATGTGATTGGATGGTATGGTCACTTTTTATGCTCAGCCGTCTTAACTCTGCTTTCCACTAATTCATTCAAAACCAGATAACCATCAGAGTTAAGTAGAGCTTGCTGGTTGAATTTAATAATTAAGTTTGATTGGTTAGTTAAAAATTGCTTCCCAAATCGCCCTGTTTGTAAACTTATACCATTGTTATTTATGTTTCGTCCTTGGTTTAAAAGTTTCCATTAGCTTAATTATTAATATTTGAAAATAACCTAAAATTTATTTAACACATTTTTATTTTAATTCTCCAGTGACAGAATGCTTTTTCCTGGCATAGAAATAGAAGAGTATGGGTCTAGTGATGTTGAGCATTCTTTGGTCAAATTTGTCAATCAATTGTGACTTGTATTTATTTTGCCCTTAAATTTAATTTTTTAATTTCGACTTAGGTTTTCAAATTTCTTTTTCCTTTTTTCAGCTCTTATTGTTAAGCCCGCCTACATAATCATCATAATGCTTGTATTGCAGCATTCTCGTTAGGCCTAACAGTATTATTCACTAAGCTAGACTTGATTAAGTGGGGGTTACTTTAGGGTTGTTTGATTGTGACCAGCAGTAAGCTACATGCTATCTGTATGGTTATGTAGGGGTTTCTATTTAAGTACCAGTTGCCTTGATTTAGAAAGTTAATTATGATACCATTTTTTTCTTTTACTAAAAATAACACATTTTTGCGGTAATTCTCATTTCAGATGACCTTTTTATTTAGTCAAAATTCAAACTAATTATAATTTTTATGAGGATTATGTTAATTGTGATAAATTAAGTCATTTTCAAATTATTTTTTTTTATCTGACCTAACATCATTTCAGCCAAACAACAGAAGATGAATCAGTAGAAGATAGGCAAGCAGATGAGGTAATAAGGAAAAGTTTGAAAGATATTTTGCTAGCGACCATCAAGATGGGGAATGGGATGAACAAGGTCAGGTGATGCTTACATCATTAGCTCTATTGCCATGTCCCTTTATGTCTATTTATATGTAAATGTGTGTGAAAATATATATATATATATATATATATATATATATATATATATATATATATATATATATATATATATATATATATATATATATATCCATGAATATAAATGAATATATGTACTTTGTTTCTGGGGGAGGGGGGGGGGGCACCACAAAGTGCCGCACTGGGTGACACCAGACCTAGCGACGTCACTGGTGTATGGTAATAAGTATGTTACAAACTTTAGTTACATATCTTGTAGATTTTGCCTGGTCTGTATATTGGTAACTTCCGTGATGCCAAAGACAACAAGCAACTAAATGAGAACAATATAACACATATTGTGGCTGTGCACGACAATGCTAAAAAGATTGTAGAGGTAGGTTGCTGCTTATATATATTCCTATTACATCCTGACATTACACACACACACACTTATACACACCCGGAGACACTCAAGAACCCTGACTCTAACCCAAAACTTCAACCTATAACTAACCCAAACACCAAATCTAAACCTACGTCTAACTGTTACACATTACTTATATCTAACACTAAGCCAAAACCTACCGTAATCTTTGTGTCAGCCTGACGTATAGTTCAGGATTAGTCATGTGAGGGTTTTTTTGTCTTAAGTCCAAAATATCATGGTTCAAACTAGGTGGCTCATATTGAAATATATATGTTAACATAGAGGTGTATTTTACAGTTTTCAGTATAATATTTTTTTTAGAAGAATGTTTGTGTATATTGCCAGGATAAAAAATATTTGTGTATGTTGCCAGGATAAAGAACATTTGTGTATGTTGCCAGGATAAAGAATATTTGTCTATTTTGCCAGCATAAAAAATATTTGTGTATGTTGCCAGGATAAAGAACATTTGTGTATATTGCCAGGATAAAGAATATTTGTGTATATTGCCAGGTTAAAGAATATTATTGTATATTGCCAGGATAAAGAATATTTGTTTATATTGCCAGGATAAAAAATATTTGTGTATGTTGCCAGGTTAAAAAATATTTATGTATGTTGCCAGGATAAAGAATATTTGTCTATGTTGCCAGGTTAAAAAATATTTGTCTATGTTGCCAGGTTAAAAAATATTTGTGTATGTTGCCAGGATAAAGAATATTTGTGTATACTGGCCAGTGACTCCCCCGACCAGGACCTCAGCAAATATTTCCCACAAGTCATCAAGTTTATACACAAAGCCAGGCTGGATGGTGGAGCTGTTTTAGTGCACTGGTAGGTTTACGAGGCTGTTTTTTTTTTTAGGCTAGAAGTTCATGTAGTGTATATTTAAATAGGATTCTAAAGGTCTACGATACTAACTCCATTTATAGACACGGACAAAGTGAAAAAGAAATCCTATTTTGTATTTTGCCTAGGCTGTGGGAAAAGTGCTAGTCATGGTTATGATCTCCAGACATTTCTGACCCATATCCTAGCCATAACCCTAACATTATAGCTGATGTGTCTAACACTAGCTGGTGTGTCTAGGAGTGTCACATTTAACCTCTACTATATTGTTCTCTCTTCTTTATTGTTCCCTCTATTGTTTTGTTCCATCTACTATATTGTTGCCTTTACTGTGTTGTTCCCTCTGTTATATTGTTCCTTCTACTGTATTGTTCCCTCAGCGCAATTGTTCCCTATACTGTATTGATCCCTATACTCTATTGATCCCTATACTCTATTTTCCCTATTCTCTATTGTCCCCTCTATTCTATAGTCCCCTCTACTCTATTGTTCCCTCTATTCTATTGTCCCCTCTACTCTATTGTCCCCTCTACTCTATTGTTTCCTCTGCTCTATTTTCCCTATACTCTATTGTTCCCTCTACTCTACTGTTCCCTCTACTCTATTGTTCCCTCTACTCTATTGTTCCCTATACTCTATTGTTCCCTCTACTCTATTGTTCCCTATACTCTATTGTTCCCTCTACTCTATTGTTCCCTCTACTCTATTGTTTCCTCTACTCTATTGTTCCCTCTACTCTATTGTTCCCTCTACTCTATTGTTCCCTCTATTCTATTGCTCCCTCTATTCTATTGTTCCCTCTACTCTATTGTTCCCTCTACTCTTTTGTTCCCTCTACTCTATTGTTCCCTATACTCTATTGTTTCCTCTACTCTATTGTTCCCTCTACTCTATTGTTCCCCATCCTCTAATGTTCCCTCTACTCTATTGTTCCCTCTGCTCTATTGTTCCCTCTACTCTATTGTTCCCTCTACTCTATTGTTCCCTCTACTCTATTGTTCCCTCTACTCTATTGTTCCCTCTACTCTATTGTTCCCTCTGCTCTATTGTTCCCTCTACTCTATTGTTCCCTCTGCTCTATTGTTCCCTCTACTCTATTGTTCCCTCTACTCTATTGTTCCCCATCCTCTAATGTTCCCTCTACTCTATTGTTCCCTCTGCTCTATTGTTCCCTCTACTCTATTGTTCCCTCTACTCTATTGTTCCCCATCCTCTAATGTTCCCTCTACTCTATTGTTCCCTCTGCTCTATTGTTCCCTCTACTCTATTGTTCCCTCTACTCTATTGTTTCCTCTGCTCTATTGTTCCCTATACTCTATTGTTCCCTCTACTCTATTGTTCCCTCTACTCTATTGTTCCCTCTACTCTATTGTTTCCTCTACTCTATTGTTCCCTCTATTCTATTGTCCCCTCTACTCTATTGTTCCCCATCCTCTATTGTCCCTTTACCAGTCTAGCCGGTGTATCAAGGAGTGTGACGTTGACAGCTGCGTACATCATGACAGTGACAGACCTAGGCTGGAGGGATGCTCTCAACTCTATACGTGGGGCCAGGAGTGTAGCCAACCCCAACTTCGGCTTTCAGAAACAGCTGCAGAATTATGAGAATGAGCATTTGGATGAGGTATGAGAATTTGAATGAGATATGAGCATTTAGAAGTGTGATCTGAACATTATTTGATGTTTGGTTTTTAACATATCACACAAGGTCCAACATTCAACTGTTAGTAAATTAAACTTCCTGTGTAGTTAGAGCTTTAAATTTTTTTTTTATCTCAGTAAAAACACTTTTTCTAACCCAGGAAAGGAAAAAGTTTAAAGCACAATTTCCGAACAACCCTTTCAAGGATGAGGAGGAGTGTCGCTGTAACCTGAAAAGTTTTCAAGAGTACGTAATGAACGGGACAATGCCTTCACGGTCCGACGACCTTTACCCCCTCCCGCACAGAGCCTACCAAGGACAGGTAAAGAAGGACGCGGTCAGGACAAACCATATAGCAAAGGTAGAGAGTAGCTCGGCTCGAAGCCGACATCGTCATCACAACTCTGCTAAACGAAAGAGCACTGTAGTGAAAGCAGATGATATAGATGCAAGTATCGCTTGTGGTCATTGGGTGTGTTCCCGTGGCTGCTTCTAGCTGGGAGTATTGCTTCTGTTCACTGCATGTGTTATGGCTGCCTCTAGCTGGGAGTATTGCTTCTGTTCACTGCATGTGTTATGGCTGCCTCTAGCTGGCAGTATTGCTTCTGTTCACTGCATGTGTTATGGCTGCCTCTAGCTGGGAGTATTGCTTCTGTTCACTGCATGTGTTATGGCTGCCTCTAGCTGGCAGTATTGCTTCTGTTCACTGCATGTGTTATGGCTGCCTCTAGTTGGGAGTATTGCTTCTGTTCACTGCATGTGTTATGGCTGCCTCTAGCTGGGAGTATTGCTTCTGTTCACTGCATGTTTTATGGCTGCCTCTAGCTGGGAGTATTGCTTCTGTTCACTGCATGTGTTATGGCTGCCTCTAGCTGGGAGTATTGCTTCTGTTCACTGCATGTGTTATGGCTGCCTCTAGTTGGGAGTATTGCTTCTGTTCACTGCATGTGTTATGGCTGCCTCTAGCTGGCAGTATTGCTTTGGTTCACTCCCTATATTATGGCTGCTTCTAGCTGGGAGTATTGCTTCTGTTCACTGCATGTGTTATGGCTGCCTCTAGCTGGCAGTATTGCTTTGGTTCACTCCCTACATTATGGCTGCTTCTAGCTGGGAGTATTGCTTCTGTTCACTGCATGTGTTATGGCTGCCTCTAGCTGGCAGTATTGCTTTGGTTCACCCAACATATTATGGCTGCCTCTAAGTAGGAGTAATTCTTCTGTTCACTGCATGTGTTATGGCTGCCTCTAGCTGGCAGTATTGCTTTGGTTCACTCCCTACATTATGGCTGCCTCTAGCTGGAAGTATTGTTTCTGTTCACTGCATGTTCAGGTTCCCACTAGCTATGAGCTATGCTATTAGCCATTTGTGTTTTTATAGCACCTGCACACTAAATGTTGCCTGTGTGTACTTCAGTTGCTATTTTTTATTTTTCACTGCCGTTGGTTATGTAAATGTGGTTTAAATGTTTACAGTAAACATGGCCTCACTGTTGCTACCCACAGCTTTGAAACTACATGCATCAAAACACAGTTGATACTTTCTATTTATTATTTGCTTGTTGTGTGTCTTCACTATTACTAGTAGTGAAAAACTTTTTTTTTTGTAGTTTTAAGGTGTGTGCTAATTATTTAATTTTTATTTTCTTTGTTGTTGTAAAAATAATTTTCGTTTTAATATTTAAGTCTTATGATTTCTTAGACTAATTTAAAAAAACAACAACACTTATTTAAGTTTATTCAATGAAGTATAATTTTTTTAAAGTGTTTAATTTATTGCCATACAGAATTTTTAAAATTGTTAATTTTGATGCATTGATTTTCTTTTATGCTTTTTACTTGTATGATAGTTCCATAAAAGCAACAAAATTAACAATACATTATTTTTATCTCCAGGGTACAGAACTCTCAGCGTCAAGTCCGAATGACTCTGAGCCAGTGATCTCCCTTGAGTGCAGTAGCAATGTTGATGGCACAAAGGAAGAAAATGAGAACAGCATGCAAGAAGCCCCTCAGGAGAATGTAAAGAATGGGCAATAACATACAGCCTATTTAGTGATTGGATTGTGTGAATAGGTGGTTGGGTATAAATCTGTTTGATGAATTAGGCTGGTGTTTTTTTTTTGTCTGGAGAAAATTTTCATATCAACCCATTGCAAGTATTTTTTTATTCCACATTCTCAAGTCTTTTCATTGTTAGTGTTTAGGTGGACCCGGTCAAGTATTGTGACCTCTCTAAGAGGTCAGCTGACATGTGTATTTGTTTATATTCTATTTATCTTTACATATTTCGCATATTTATTGAGCTTGCCTTTTATCCTATAATAAATTGCTCCTCGTCTTGAAGAGTTTATCCCTCTGGTTGATAACTTTTTTTTAGAGTAATAAGACATTTCATGAGGTATTTCTTCAAATAATATTTTCTCAGCCGTATTCATAGATATATAATATATATATATATATAAATATTTACAAATAAGAAATTACATTGTAGAAACAACATTAATTTCTCATTAGCAAGAATAAATTGAAAGATAAATAATCAACAATTTGCTCATCCAAAAAAAAATCTTTGCATCTGCGGAATCGCAGATTGCCGACCACTGCCTTAACTTCATTTTCCCCTTAAAACTGGGCTGACCAGTATATTTTTGGCAGCAAACATATCTAAATTTAGCATTTTCAAAAATAGAACACCCATAAACACAGTCTAGGACAACTTATTTTAAATATTGTTTACTCTCAATTTCATCGAACCAGGCCTTAATGTGTGTTTATTTTTCTATAATTTTTTTTCTAATTCTATCAACTGTCCCTTTACTTCTGTGGTCCTTCTAGTACATGGTATCTTGTGTAAATTAATAAAAAAAACACATTCTCCACTTTGGCTAAATGGATATGTACATGTGTAGATAATTGTGTGTAATTAAAACAAACTTTTCCATGTTGGATAAGTGGATTATAGTAACCCGTCGATGCTAATCCTTGCTGTTGAGGTAACTGTTTTACTTTCACACTGTTTTGTGGACCAGGAACTGTAAAGGGTCAGATGGTTTTATTGTGCTATAGTGAGCTCTAGTCCTTATAATTATTCTTTTTATCTTTGTTCTCTGTTTTCAATTTCTGGGTTTGTTACTTCAAATGTTCAGCTAGTGTAACTAAATGGTCAAAAAGTTATTTTAAATTTATATTCCAGTACCTTTTGTTATTTTAATTACATTCTATGTAGGCCTAATGATTAAAAAACATTTCTATAACATTTTTATAGACAGTTTTGTACACCTAGTTTACAGTTTGAATTTTAAAATAAATTGAAAAATACAAGAAACTTTTTAAAAAACTTTGGCAGCTTATTTAAAACAAAGGAGGTAAGTTGACAAAATTCATTCAAAGCAAAATGTTTTATATTTTAAAAATGTTACAAAAAAACAATTTACTAATGAATACCTAGACATTGCATTAGAAGATATTGATGATAGTATTCTTAGTTTAACCTTCTATTACTCAGAAGTGATACTTTTTTATATGGACAATTTTTTTTTATAATCAGGTGAATATAAATATTTGCAATAATATATGCTGTTCTTTTTTAGAAATGATACTTTTTATCAGATATTGTATTTTTTATTAGAAATGGTATTTTGTACCAAAAATTGTACTTTTTATCAGAAGTTGTACTTTGTATCAGAATTTGTACTTTGTATCAGAATTTTTGCTTATCTTGCTGTAGCATTCACGTAAGTCTCTGGTTAAGATTCTGTCTGAGATCAAGTTTAAATAGAGGTGAATGGTTTTATCACCACAATGAGGACTGTCCTGTCGTACCTCCATGATGACTGAATGGTTGTTTCCCTGTAATGAGGCCAGACCAATGAAGTTCTAAGCAAGGCCTCTTGCCCTTATGAAGAGGACAGATTAGTATTCTTGCAATTAAGATAACTTTATAAACCAAAACTTGTTTAATCAGAGTCTTTAAAACCCCTTGATGTTGGATGTAAATGTAACCTTCAACCCCCATTTGTGCTCTCCTGTCTTGAAGTTTACCAAAACACATTGACTGTCTTCCATTAGATATCATCTCTACTACTTGCCTTATGGAAGATTTTTTTTACAACTATTTATTACTGCATGCCCCATTGTTTTGCCAGTTTGGTTTAGTTTTTTTTTATAAACCTTTAAAAGGTAGTAGTTAGTTGAGTTTGTATACAAGCTACAGACCCTATCTGTTTCTTAAGCCTTGAGTCACGTGGGTGAAGTCAACTTCATGTTTTGTCCTGTTTAAAATTCTGAGAACTGTGACAAACTTGTCACTCCGAGAATATTTCCTCAAGAAATGTGTCTACTGTTTGTTTAATGGATTTTTTTTTTAATAATTTTTTTAAATTTTTTAATGGTAAACTTTTGATAATGTCTATGAGGGAATATTTCCTCAAAAAATGACTATTATTATTTCCTAAAAAAAATTCTGTTATTATTTTCTCAAAAAAATTTCTTTTAATAATTCTTTAAAAAATGTCTACTATTATTTTTCTCAAAAAAATCTATTATTTCCTCAGAAAAAAATTCCATTTTTATTTCCTCAAAAACAAATTCTATTATTGTTTTGGAAGTTCAAGATTTTTATTACAAAAATGTCACATCTGAAATATTCTTTTTTTTTCATAAAATAATTTTTGCCACAAACGTCTGAAGGAAATATTTCCTCAAAAATTGTCTATTATTTTGGAAGGCTGAGATCTTAACCACATATCTGGAATATTTTCTCCAAGAATTGAATTGCTAGTTTTTTTGAACGTTGGATCCTGCATTATTTATTTTTGTTGTACATAGCCTAGATTTCTTATAATTGTTTCCTACTTAAAATAGTTTACTTAATAAATAACCACCTATTAAGCTATGATATATTTGAATAGAGTAAGTAATGATGATATTCTTAGGTTCTTATTTGCCTTAGTCGTATTTTTCAAGTAATACAAACGACACATTCAGATACTACTCAGTTATTTTAAAGAAAGAAAATACTAGCATTTCTTCATTGAAAAGGTAGTAAGAGAGTTAAATATCAGGTGAATTTTAATCAATGGTGGCTATGTTTGCCTCCCATTGTATTACTCACAAGGTTCAGCTTTAAGGCTTACATATTTTCTACTAACAACTCCTGATAAATCTCTATGCATGAGAAACGGGAATGACAAGTCAGGCAAACTTTAAAGTTATATTTAGCACTTTTTTATTTAATATTAAGGAACTGATTTTATAACATCATTTTTATCATTGCAGGCACATTGGCAAATCAATGAACTTAATTGCAAATTAAATTAATTTTAAAAATGTATGTTATCTAAATAAAACTGAGGTATTGACATTTTTTTTTAAGATATCTTTTTTATGGTAAAAGTTTTTAAAGAAAAATATTAAGTCTTGCAATAGTTGAACAGCATAATATAGGGTAAAAGTAAAAGTTAGTTTTAAGTGAGTAATATATTGCATGTAAAATAGATTTATAAATCTGCAAGTATAAGCACGTTAAATATAATATTGTAGGCTCTATATTGTGTTTAAAAAATATTTTTTGTTTTGTTGATTCTCATCAGTTTCAAACATTTTATTTCATGAGCTTTGAACCCTCATTCAAGTAGTAAAAGTGCAGTCTTCAGAAGACTGTAGAAATAGATCAAAGTGTGTTCTCTTAAAAAAAAAATTGCAATTGTGTTTTTGTTTTGTTTTTTTATAATTTTTTAAAATTTTATTTAGATGAGCATTAAAAAAATCAACTATTTTTAAACTAGGATCTCTGAAATGACTAACTACTATTTACAAACATTTCCTGACTCATATTACTTTAAGCCTTTAAGCTATCTAGTCTAGTATGGACAAGGGGAGACTACACAACAAGGTTTTTGCCTTCTCATATTAATAAAATTACTTTCTTGCTTGAGACTTATATTTTACCACCTATGTCTGCAGGCTGGAAGAATGCATTTATTCTTTTAATTGTCAATTCTATTTTATAAAAGAGAAATGTTTCTGCCTTTTAAACAAAAATTGTAATACTTTTCAATAAAACAAATTTTTTTAAACAAAAAAGATGTGTGTTGAATGTTGTGTAAAGGTACCCTTACACAGTGTTTACACTTGTGACTTGTATACTATGCATGTCTAGAAACAAAACTGCAATAACTGAGTAGCCCTACCCCTGTACATGTTCTGAAACTTGTGACTTGTATACTATGCATGTCTAGAAACAAAACTGCAATAACTGAGTAGCCCTACCCCTGTACATGTTCTGAAACTTGTGACTTGTATACTATACATGTCTAGAAACAAAACCGCAGTAACTGAGTAGCCCCCCCTACCACTGTACATGTTCTGAAACTTGTGACTTGTATACTATACATGTCTAGAAACAAAACCGCAATAACTGAGTAGCCCCCCCCCCCCCTGTACATGTTCTGATAAACTTAACCTATGGCAAAGTAGTTTTTTATTTTTTTCTAGTATAATTGACACATTGAAAGTAGTGTTATTATAAACTTGCAACCAAACCAATTTGCCAGATTTCTAGACCTTATGGCACAGCACCAAATAAAAGTTATGTTGCTATTTATAGATGAAATATGGCCACCATGGATCTATTTGATATTTAAATAACAAACAAGGGTGTTTATTATCAGGCCTTCTATCAGACATTGTTGCCTTGGGGAGGGGGGGGGTGCGGATTTAAATTAATTTTTTTCTTCCTACTGGGGAGGGGTGGTTGTATTCAGAGGTCAGTGCGGCCCACCCATACCCACCTAATGAGATGACTTAATAAAAGAGACTTGATTGTTTCAACATGATTAGCCTGCCTTGACTAAAGTGTCTACACTGACACATGCCAGCATTCAAAACTGTCTTTGCTACGATTTAAATTAAAGTCCCCCATACCCCACCACCCCGCCTCCATCCAAATCATTGGACCACCAAACCTCACCCTCCCACTGAAGGTGTGTGAAAGTTTCCCCTACATTTGGTGCAGCATTTATGGAATCTTCCCTTATCTAGTCTAAGTTGTCCACGTCTAGATAAAGGTTAACAGCCTTTAAAAGTCACAGAAATCAAGCAATGTCACGTTTCAAAGCTGGATGTTGGTAAGTGGTTCATGGAAATGTTTTTTTTTTTTGTTTAAAATCCTGAAAAAAATGTGTGTGCAAGGGGGATAAAAAGGGCGTGAATTTTGAGGGTAGAATATTACGTGGGTTACCTCCCATGATTTTAAAAATATCTTTACTGCGCTGTTTTTATTGTTATTTATCTTATCCAAACTCTTAGGAGTTAAATTTTATAGTGCCGGGGACAAGGTACAAGGGCGTGGGACCCATGTTAGACTGTGTAGAGGATCAGTAGAAGAAATGTTAATAGGAAATTTCTGTAGAGGCGCACGGGTTACTATCTTTATCTATAGAAAAAAAAAACAGTAAACTTGGTTCTCTTTTTTTAAAAATTATTATTGAGGTTAAAGAAATGAGGGGACAGGCTATACATATATCGAAAAAAACACATGTTAGTGAGTATTGGTTGAGGGTTATGATATGCGTCTTAGGCTGAAAATATGTAAAAGATTATACTACACAAAGCTGTCCTTCAAAAGATTATCCTACCTACATGAAGCTGTCATACAAAAGATTATCCTACATAAAGCTGTCTTTCAAAATATTATCCTACATCAAGCTGTCCTTCAAAAGATTATCCAACACAAAACACAAGAGATTATCCTTCATAAAGCTGTCCTACAAAAAAAGAACCTACAGAAAACTATCCTACAGAGGACGTACTTACAAGAGACTGTCTTAAGGGGAAAAAAAACGAATGAAAACTCTCCCAAAGAAAAATCTCCCAAAGAAAACTCTCCCAAAGAAAACTCTCCTAAAGAAAACTATCCCAAAGTAAACTATCCCAACGAAAACTACCATAGAGAAGATTTTATAAAGTAAAATCTATTTAAAAGAAAAACTAGTCCAAAGGGAAGACGTCGGCAAAATAATTTCTCAGAATTTCTGGGTTTTGGGGCTTTTTTTTGCGTGTGATCAAGTGACCAATATATTCAATAAAAATGAAATTTAAAACCTTGTGTTTCCATGTATGTTTGAAGTGGAGGGGGGGGGGGGACTCAAACATGTGTTAGTATTAACGCCTGTGTGGTGTGAAGGTGTGGGTGTATGTCTGTCTGTGTCTGTCTCTGAAATGTAATGTGTTTTGTGGATGGAGGGGGAGGATGTTCTATGGATATGTATTACGCCCTATTATTTTATCTTATACGAGCTGACCCGCGGCGTATCACACGCCGCTATTTAGTTGTTTTATTTTCTACTTTTCAGTACTTCATAGTAAGTGAATTTGACACTACCCTCCATTCCATTTCAGAATGGTGGGGGTGGGAGTGGTAGCTATATGTCTAGAGAGCGGGGGAGTAACGGCGTGCGTTTACGTGGTGGTGTCTCGCATGGTCCCCATAAAGAGAACTGTATATATATATATATATATATATATATATATATATATATATATATATATATATATATATATATATATATATATATATATATATATATATATATAACCAACATTTCTATCGGAATAGTAGATTCTTGACTGGACGGGCGTGGTCGAGACGGTAAAGCTCACTATTGCTCTATAGCTAGGGACAGCAACTCTTCGAGGAGAGACAACTCCCTAATAAAAAAACTAGATGAAAAAGGCTAATGAAACAAATCCAAAAGGAAATTCGGAGCCAACGGCCTATATGGCGCATAACAAGTTGACACGAAATACTTAATTGTGTTGGAGGAAATCACGTCCAACACTACAATTAATGGTCAATTAAGAACGAAGAAGAAGAATATACATTTATCCGATTTAATAACGATTCTGCAACTCTAAGAACTAAGTGCGTATTTAGATCTAGTATATTTTAAAAATAATTACCGTTTCTAAAACACATTTTTTAAATGAAGAAACACTAATTAAATATTCAGAGAAGATTAGATTTGCCCGTGACACTCCAGTTATACAACAGTACGGTCATGTCACTTTAATACATTAATCGATCTCTATAGACAAAGAAATTCTAATTTAATTTTTCGAAAAAAAAAACGGCGTTGGCAGTAGGGAGAACAAATTGCAGGCAGTTTTATTGCCATAAATAAATGAAATGAAACTGGGCCGGGCTCTGGGCTCCGAGAGCCGAGCCAAGCGCCCCGTCGTTTTGCGCCGCTGAGTGATGGAGTGGAAGTGGTGCGGCGGTTTACGTCTGGCCGGAGCTTCCGGTAAACAGACGAGCGACTATCCGGAGCATCGGCCAAATATCGGAGTGTCAGAACGAGACGGAACAAATCATTGGATTAGGTTTTGGCGCGAAAAATAACAGTTGATGAAGTACTGAGTCACCTGCTTGCTAGTGGGTGGGGTGGGGATTGTGTGGGCGGTTTTGTTTTTCCTTTAAATCTGGAGATTTTTGTGTGGAATAGCTAGATATAGAAAGGCGTGGTAGTCTTAAAATGCCATTAAGGATTAGTGTAGTGTTTCTTCCAGACTTTTTTCTCCGGGGGGGGGGGCACTTGAAATTTTCGGGGGGGGGGGTAGACTTTCTTCGGGGGCGGGGGGGGGGGGCGGACACTGTTAAAAGTATATATTTTCTATATAAATTATATAAATTTCATGCCTGGAAGAAACTTTGGATTAGTGTCGCAGTTTCCTTTGTATGTTCTTGAATTATTTTTTTTTAATTCTGCGTCTAATCAAAATTTGGGTCGAGGTTGCTTCAATACAGAAAATATCAAGTTATAGTTATTTTAATAGCTTCTTAAAACTATTTTGATAAAAAAGGAATTTTTTTTTTTTACCCATTTGTCTATAGTTTTAGTAAATCATATATTTACTCTTAGGAAGAGAAGAGAGGGGGGGAGGGGGGGGAGGGAGGTGACACCCTTGAAAATAGCATCCAGTGTCACCTGAGCTAATGACGTCACGGTGTTGATTAAAATTGATTGCACTTGTTTACTTAGACAGACAGACACTTTCTAACCTATATTGACCAACACATCCTGACCTATATTGACCAACACATCCTGACCTATATTGACCAACACATCCTGACCTATATTGACCAACACATCCTGACCTATATTGACCAACACATCCTGACCTATATTGACCAACACATCCTGACCTATATTGACCAATACACCCTGACCAAGATTGACCAACACATCCTGACCTATATTGACCAACACATCCTGACCTATATTGACCAACACATCCTGACCTATATTGACCAACACACCCTGACCTATATTGACCAACACACCCTGACCTATATTGACCAATACATCCTGACCTATATTGACCAACACACCCTGACCTATAATGACCAACACATCCTGACTTATATTGACCAACACACCCTGACCTATATTGACCAACACATCCTGACCTATATTGACCAACACATCCTGACCTATATTGACCAACACACCCTCACCTATATTGACCAACACATCCTGACCTATATTGACCAATACGTCCTGACCTATATTGACCTTCACATCCTCACGTATATTGACCAACACACCCTCACCTATATGACCAATACATCTTGATTCACCAGCACCTCGTGAACTAGACTGACCAATACAGTTTGACCTAGATTAACCAGCAACAGCCACACCATTCCCACAAAACGAAAAAAAAACACAGCACCATCTTAATGCCACTCACATCACATTACCACTGCAGCAACCACCACACTAACTATCCCTTGTACCTTTACCTCCCCTGAATGTAACTGCGACCCGCAGAAGAAGAAAATAATCTCTTCCTTGTATCTGCTAGTTTACATCACGAACCTTAACTCCTCACCAAACTTACGATCCCGTGAGTAGATTAACGCCCCTGATGCCGCTTTCATTTTTTTAAAAATAAAAATCATAACAATACTTTCTTTTGTTTTTTAAATTTCATTAAAACTGTTTATTCATCATTAAAATGTATATAATGATGGAAGTTGTTTTGGTTAAATTCCTTGAGAGCAAACACTGAGTGT